ACGCTGACGATGTACACATCATGCTGGTTGGCACCGCAGACGGCGGCATCCACATCAGCATATACGATTCCTTCGTGATCGGCATGCTACGGGCCTCACCCCCCCGTGGTGGTGGCAATGTATTCAAGCTCTGCGGGCATAGCGCGCACCCAGAAGTCTCTACCCATATGCTTCTCCTTCGGCCTCAAGACGGAGACGGCAGCTCGCTCTACCTGGTGCCGATGGACCTCATTTTTGTGCACCACTCCCCCATCAATCTCTCTTTGCTCGCATCTAAAGATAACCACGCTACATAACCTGCTGCGATACCTCAAGCAAGCTCAGTCGCATATGATGAGTGAGTGGAAGTCGACGAGAGAGCTGCCAGCTCGGTTTATGGCCAGTGTCCAGGAGGACCTGAAGAAGGTGGGCAACGGGAGATGGACAATTGTTCAAGCCTTGTTCCATACAGTTGCTACAGGGCATGTGTTTCCCGTCGTGAGGGAGTGGTTGATGGACACGATTGGGGAAAGGGGTTACAAGCGGTGGGAGAAGGCCGTCGTCTCTGGCCTGGTGAGCCTCCGTTCGCTGGTTCATGAGAACTTCATTCCTGCGTTGGAGAGATGCGGTGTGATTCTCAGCCGACTCCTAGGCCTCGCCAAGTTTCATGAGTCGATGAAGGAGAATGTGGGTTTCACCGAGGTGCAGATCAGCCGGCTCATTGACACAGTGTCGAGCTTGATGCTAGTGGCACATAAGGTGCTCACGGCCGTCATGGACGAGTTAGACTACTTCAACGCGTTTGCTACGTGGCTCAAGATGGAAATTGACTTCCAATTCCAGCCTTCGCTTGCTGATGAGCTCACAGAACGGCAGGCGACGATAAACTACGGCAAGGTGTTAACTTACATCCAACATTATCTTGTGCGGAGCCGGTTGGCAGTGTATTTCGAGAAGTTAGCAAAGAAGGAAGAAGAACAAGCCGCCAAGGAAGAAGCCTCAGCGGCCGTTGAGGGGGGCCAAATCACTGTTGGATCTGGTCGATAGGCAGATGAAGGAGCAGGAGGAGGGCAAGGAGTACATGAAGGCCGTGCCCAGGGTTGATTTTCTGTTGGATTATTTGACCAAGGGGGCCAAGGAGGTGTTTAATGGCATCGCCGAGGCAGAAAAACAGAATGTGAGGTTCGGCGAGGCGACAGAGTTGTCGCTTGGGGCTGGGGAGGAGGATCTGGAGGAGTGATGTTAGCATGGTCCGGCCAGATAACAAGGTATGACTTTTCAAAAAGAAATACTAATTCATCGGCTGACATGTGGTCCATAGGATGCTACAGCTGTGGCTACTTTTACGGCTACGGTGTGGGAAGAAGACAAGAGCAGAGGTATGTCTTCCATGCATCATCATCATCATCATCATCATCTTCTTCTTCTTCTTCTTCTTCTTCTTCTTCTTCTTCTTCTTCTACTTCCCATTGAAGATTCCAAGCCAAAAAAAAAAACAACTAACAAATATCTAGTTCTTCTCGTTCGCACGAATACCTCGGTTTGTGATGGCCTCAGCGGGCCTGTATCCAGTACAGCATGCGGCCTGCTGCTCCCAAGCGGCTTATCCATCATCGACCTCAAGTTCTTAGATGAGCACTCGCTACTGTTATTGTGTGAACAGAAAGGTGTGTTTGTTTACTTTATAAAGCTACTCACTTAATAGAGCCTTCCGTTAACAGAATGACTTCAACTGCAGACGAACCAGAATCTGTGCTTATCCGCATCGCCTACCGCCCGCTCTCCTCGTCCTTGCCATACAGCGCCTACGTACCTGGACAATGGCCTGCTGCTGAGGTCACCATTAACGCTCCTGGCACTAAGGCAGATAAGGGGGCCATTGCCAGATACTTTGGGTTTGACCATGGGCCCAAGTTCACACCAGTCCAGATGGAGGTCCAGAGGGCGTGTCGGCTACGAGGAGAGGTACCTGCGCGGGTGTGTCTGGTTGCGAAGGACAGGTCAACATATAAGACATATGCGCTGCCTGAGGAGTAGAAGGGTTTCAGGGTTGTATGTAGACATGATTGGGATTTCTTTAGAACCGGGGATACATAATGTTTGTAAAATTTATCTTGCAAGACCTTGATGTTGGTGATGCCTGGGCTGTTGTTGGTTTCTTAAACCCCTACCCCCCCCCTTTAACCCCCCTTGGGTCTGCTGCTGATCCAGTGTTACTAAGTTCAGTGGTCTGCTGTGACGGGCCCCTGCAACAGCGGGCATTGAGCCACCCAGGGGTCCACGGTGCCCTGTCCCCGCTGGGCCTTGTGCCAATTTCGGGAGCCCGCTCATTCGACAGGGTTTGTTTGGCCAAGCCGCTGTGTGCGAGATGAACGTCATCATTCCCGTGTCTCAGGCAGGCGGCCAGGCCTTCATCCGTTTCTCCTGTCTTCAATCTCCAACAGCCAACTGCCGACAGTTGTTTGTCTCAATCTCAATCACTCCCAGTCAAATGCTGTGCCACTGCAGCACAAGAGTTTGAACTCGTGCGCACACTGCAGGAGACCGAATGATACGCATTATAACGATAGCGCACTTAGACGCATGCCTCTACTACCAGCCTTACAACATCCCTAAACTCTCTAGACTGAGAACTTGGGACCTTGATGACCTTGAGTCGAGCTACTTGGAGTAGCACCTGGATAAATATAGCAGCCATAGTGAGCCATCTCGTCAAGGGCGTAAGCAACATCCAACACAAGGACCGACGAGTCTCTTGGGCTCCGGCCTTCCAACGACCACTACAAGTCAACAATCATGAACGAGCCGACTCTCCCACCGCCAGCAGCTCTTGCCAGCTCGAGACCAACACCAACGGCGACAGGCACAACACCTACGACGACCGCAACTCCCTCGTTACTCCCATCCTCTCTCCCGCATCCTTCATCTCCCCAAAAACAAAAACCCTCTCCTTCTTCTCATGGACCAGGCCAAACCAACCCTGTCATTCCCGTCTCCCTAACTGAAGCTTGCCTCGACTCGCCCTCCTTTCGCGCCTCCGCCATCCACTTCGCCGACCAGCTCGATGCCCTGGAGCGCTGGCTCGATTCTTACACCCGATCCACAAGCAAGCTGGTGCACGATGTCCTGACGTTAGAAGACGGGATAACGACCTATCTAGCCAAGATAGCGCCGCCTCCGGCAATAGCGGCTGCCCCTGATCCGCCCGTTCTTGATGCAGATTATACTTTGCTTGGGCTGCGCCGGGCAGCAGATGCCGCCCGCGACTGGTGGATGGGCATACTAGGATCCATAAGACGCTTCGAGCCCGTGGTCGTTGACCCGATCCGGTCGTTCCTTCAAGGGCCGGACATGCGAGCTTTTCGTGACGCGAGGAAAGCGCTTGACGTCACACAGAGGGCCTTTGATGGGGTGTTGGCGAGGTATATGGCGCAGAGCAAGACGAAGGAGCCTAGCGCGTTGAGGGAGGATGCTTTTGCGGTGTATGAGGCTCGACGGGCGTACTTGAAGGCGAGTCTGGATTATTGCATGCTTGCGCCACAGGTTCGAGCGGGGCTAGATCGGGTGCTGGTCAGAGTGAGTGCGGATTTGGAGAGGGAGATGAGACGGGCTGGGGAGGAGGTGTTTGGGAACGTGGCGAGGATATCGGAGCTGGAGAGGATTAGGGGTTGGTCCAAGGAGATGGAGATTGCCGAAGGAGGCTTCAGGAGGGAGCTGCAGATGGCAAGGAGGGATTTAGGGGAGAGCACGTTGGCTGCGTGGAAGCCGTCGAGAGAGTTGGAGGATTATAGTGTTTCTACTGTGCCCTATCTGGGATCGAGGGGTCCGCAGGGGATGCAGCAGCAGCAGCAGCAGCAGAAGCAGAATGCGAAGCACAAGGGTAATGGCAATGGCAATGGCGCTGCTATCTTGGAGAAGCAAGGCTGGCTGTTCCTGCGCGTCATGGCTGGCAAGCCGGTCCGCACGACGTGGATCCGACGCTGGTATTACTGCCGCGATGGTGTCTTCGGCTGGCTTGCTCAAGGGCCCAACGGCGTGCTGATGGGCGATGAGATTGGCGTGCTGCTGTGCAGCGCTCGCCCGGCCGTGCAGGAAGAGCGTCGCTTCTGCTTTGAGATCAAGACCAAGACTCAGACAATCCTCCTGCAGGCCGAGACTCAGGCTCAGCTGGTTGAGTGGCTCGAGGTGTTTGAGACGGCGAAGAATCGGTACATTGAAGCGAGCATGAAGCGGCATCAGAAGTCGGTCACGCTGCCTGTCGGCATGCCTGACCCGGCCTTTTCTGTTACTCCGCCTTCGATCCCCGACTTCTCGGCCAAGATTCTCGAGGGTTTGGATGAGGGAGCTACCAGTGTTGTGTCTGGCGAGGGTAAGACTTTGTCTGTGCCTGGTCAGGAGGCTGCTGCCGGCGCGCGCCAGAGCTTCGATGTTCCTCGTCGTGCCCTCACAACAGCCCTTGCTCGCGACGAAGGCGACTCTGGTCGTGACCACGCTACTCGCATTATGCAGAAGCTAGATCTACACCGCACCAAGACTGTCGGGCCCAGCGCTACGGACGCTACCGTCTCTGGTACCACGGCTCTCGGCAGCGGGGGCGGGCTCTTACTGCCCGGCAACACCACAGCAACATCAACGACGACCCTCGCCCACGGCCAGCAGCCTCCTCTCCTCAACCCCCATCATAACGCCCGCCCCAAAATCCTCCTCGCCCCGACGACTCTTGTCAAGCCGCCAATCTTAACCAGTCTCAGCAAGACTGCCGTCCTGGCCAGTGCCAACGCCGGCGGTGCCGCTGCCACTACCGCTGCCGCAGCCCGTAGCCTCCCCAGCGCCGCCATCGCAAACTACTGGGGCAGCAACAGCTACTCGTCTGTGTACTGCTCTATTCCGACCCCGTCTCCGGGACCGCATACCCCTCGGCCTGACAACGTGGCTGATCCGTTTTCAGCGGCGGCTACTGCTGCTGACAAGTCTAGCGCTGCGAGCGGCAGCAGTATGCACCGAAAGACATTTAGTGCAGACGCGGCGACGGTGTCAGATATCAGTCGAGCGGCGAGGGAGAAGGCTTCGGCGGTGTCGGTGTTTCCAGAGAATTATCCATCCGAGCTGCGTGCGCAGTATGCGCAGTTCAGATTGCTCTTCCCTGCCGCACCGGCAGGGGACATGCCAGTGCTGGTGTTCAACGCTGTTTGGACGAGCACACCCGCTGAAGAAGTACAGGATGTGGGGGGAAAGAGACTTGGCCTGGCTGGCAATGGGCGGATATTTGTTACGCCAGATCGGATGTATTTCTACGGGCATCACCTGGGGCTTGTGGTGCCGTATATTTTGGGACTGGATGCCATCGCGGAGATTACGGCGGCCCGGGGTAGGGATTGTGACACGATTTGCTTGCATTTGAGTCAGAGTGGCCAAGACACTGCCATGCTGTCACGTATCACCATTAAGGTCTTCCTTGATGATGTTGCTTCGCTGCAGGCTCGCCTTAATCTGTTGGTTGATGATTTACAGGCTGCTGAGCCGATGGAGCTGGCTGAGATTGTGGCGGCTTTGGCTACCATCGATGCTCGCGCACGCGACGATGGGGATGACGAGGATGGAAAGAGGAGTCCCAGCGTCGAGAGCTGGGAGGAGGTGTCCTCCAACCCTCCCCTCGACGATGCCTCTCCCACCGGCAGGCTCGGCATGACAGCGACCGCATCGCTCCGCCGGGTCCAGGAACTCCACGGCGTCAGCAGCAGCGGCAAGCATGGCAGACGCCTCTCAGTCCAAGCCCAACAGCAATCGGTCAAGAAAACGCACAAGCTGCACCTGCCTACGCACCCTGTCGTCTACGAGCCCGAAGACATGGACAAGCCCGTCGCGGAACGCCACTTCGAAGTGTCAGCCAAATCCTGCTTTCACGTCCTTTTCGGCGATCGCAGCGCCCTCTTCCCCAAGCTCTACTTCGAGCGCGGTGCCCGCAACATCGCCCAGGGCCCTTGGAAACTCCAGGATCATGGCGTCATGCGCCGCGAGTTCCGCTTCACCGTCGACGGGACCGGCGATATGCTGGGTCGTAGACGCGCTAGTGATGTTATCGATTTCCAGACTATCGATGTGTTCCGGGACCATATGACGTATGTGGTCAGTCATGTCAAGATTCCGTGGCATTTGCCTCACTACCAATCTCTACGGCTCGTTGTCAAGGTGGTCATCACGCACCTCGCCAAGTCGAAGTGCAAGTTGGCTATCTACGTCCGTCCCGAGTGGCTCCCCCCGTCGGGAAGACAACTTGCCCCGGTCGCGTTTGCCCGCAACCTCGTCCAGCGTCAGGCCCTCGACGATGCTGTTAACGACGCGGAGGAGCTGGCCGATCTGGTGACCGAACACGTCCGTCGGCTGGGTCCGCACACCCGACGCACAAGGCGCGCTATCCAAGTGTACGGCGAGGTCGGACAAGTCTCAGATGCGATCAATTATTCGCCGCCGCCGCCGGCTGAAGACGATGAGAAGAAGACCGGCGCTGGCGGCGTCGTGGTACAGGCCGTCCGCCCTCGAACAATGGCCGACATGCTCCTCGACTCTGGCCGTTCCTTCCTCGAGAGCGTGATCAGCTCCGTGATGATGTGGGCGTTTGCTGCCGTGAGGAGGGTATTTGGCGTGTTGTCGGCCCATCGGGTCATTTTGGTGCTGTTAGCCATCAGTGCTGCGCATAATTTGGTGATCATGTCGCAGGCCGGGAGTACTTGGTGGGTTGAGAGGAGAGCGGCGAGGTATATGCGCCGGTTGGGCGTTGGGCCGAATTTGGTCATGGGGAGGGCGGTCTATTTGAAGGATTTGGAGGAGGCTGCGAGAGGAAGTGTCGTGGAGGAGTTGGGTGATGATGGTGGTGTTTGGTAAGTTTTTAACATCTCCCCACCCCCCTTCCCCCCTTCCCCTCGGTTCACTTCCCTCCCTGCCTTGAAGTGTTGCTTCAAATTGTCACACTGCATACAAGTAGTAATACTAACATTACCTTTGTACACTTCACAGCTACCAAACATTCCGTCAAACCCTCTTTCTCAACACCACTCCCGCCGAACTCAACGCGCCCTACGTCCCTCCCCCCCCTTCCTCGTCCCCCTCCTCACCCTGGTCAGCAGCAACCTCCTCGGCGGCTCGACGCATCCATCGCATGCGCCAGCGCCTTGGCGGCTACCGCCACGACCTACTTGTCGCCCTGCGCGTCGTCAATGGCGTGGAACGGGAGATGGTTCGTGCGGAGTGGGAGGCTTGGTTGAGAGGGGAGGCGTGGAGGTGTGAGAGGGCTAAGGGCTTGTTGTTTAGCAGTGAGCCAGACCTCCCTGCCACCCCTGTTGATGGTGAAGCCCTAGGGTTGGGGTTAGGGTTGAATACAGAGAGCGAGGGTAAGGATGAGGAGAAGGGAGAGGAGAAGAAGAAGAGGGAGAGGATGGAGGCGTTGAAAAAATGGTATGTTGAGTATTGTGGGAGCTGTCTTGAAGAACAACGGAAGATTGGCGAGAGGAGTCAGTCGCTCCTTTGAACCAGATGGAGATGGTCTTGCTTCTTATGGGAGTCCATTCAAGTTTGAAGACACTTCAGCCTGAGTACGGATATAGCAATTCCTTTTTGTTCTCTAGGAACGAGATAGAGGGTATTTGGTCAAGCGGTCAAGCCTGGGATGTGGTCTCTAGAGTTTCGTTTCCGGGACAGTCTTGGAGCCTCTTGCATGCATAGGTTGCATATAGATTAGGTAGATTTCTTCTTCTAATTTTTTGTTTGTCTTGGGTTGAATATCGTTATCGGCAGGTAATTAATTAGTCATCCCCTCTAGAGGCAGGATTAAGCATCATCAAAGAACAATAGCCCCAAGTTCATTTTCATATGACGTTTCTGCGTATTCAAATGCACATGTTCGTTGTTTACATGCTATGCTGTGAACATACGAAAATAGCTGCGAAGGTGTCGTCAGCCAAGCAGCATCAAGGAGGCACAGCCACAACTTGACAAGCTCACGCAGCTTTCACGGCTTGCACGTGGAGCTACAGTGTTAGTACACAGCAAACTCTTGGACTGGCAGTCAATGGCATTTCCTTTACCAATTGACTGACTATTGTTCAAATGGCAGCCCCAGCAGCCGAATGAACCTGCTTCCAGCTTTCTCCATGTCTTAGCCCAGGATCAGCCTTTTCGTCAGCGGTGTTTCAGAGGTCAAAACTTCTCCACATTCCCGCTCAACCTAAGTACGAGGACTTCGTTCTTTGCATCTTTTTTCTACATATTCATCTCTAGCAGCTTCTCCTAGCCATCCTATCGCGTTCAGTCAACGGATTAGTGATATCGGAGGCCCCAGCGCCTACACGTTCATCAAAAGTATCTTCATCTTACCTAGAGAGCTTACCATGCTCGGGCTTCCCTCATACCACTCCCTCCTCACGTACTTCAGGCCCTCCTCAATGACAATGATGACAGCCTCCCTGCGAAACTTCCTCTTCCTCCTCCTAGCCCTCCCCAACCCAGGAGCAGCCAGCCCGAATTTATTACCCCGCCAAACAATAACAAACGCAGCCCCACAAATCTGCAACAACTCTCCGGACCTCTGCTCCCGCACCTACACCAACATAACTCACCTTGGAGCCCACAACAGCGCCTTCGTCCGCGACGCTTCTACTGGCAACTCTATCGCTGGCAACCAGTTCTACAACGCCACTGTCGCCCTGTCGGCCGGTGTGCGCTTGTTGCAGGCCCAGGTCCACCGCCTCGACGATGGCACCCTCGAGCTATGCCACACGCTGTGCTCTTTGATGGACGCCGGTCCGCTGGATAAGTGGTTGGAGAAGATCAGGTACTGGATGGATCAGCATCCAGATGATGTCGTCACGCTGCTGTTGGTCAACTCGGATGATGCTAGCGTGGAAGAGTTCGGAGCGGCGTTTGAGAAGGCAGGGATTGCCAAATACGGGTTTGTGCCGCCTTCGCCGTCAGAGGGGTATGCAGCATGGCCGACGCTGGCGGGGATGATAGCTGCTGGGACGAGACTGGTCACATATATTGCGTCGATTACCGCTTCGTCGCAGTATCCGTATCTGTTGCCCGAGTTTGACTATGTCTTTGAGACGCCGTATAACATCTTGTCATTGGATGGGTTTGGCTGTGATTTGGATCGGCCGTCGTCTGCGGGTACGGCGACGAATGCCATCAGCAAGGGCATGCTGCCGTTGTTGAATCACTTTGCTTATACCAGCCTGACTTCGGATATCCAGATTCCGGATGCGTCAGATGTCAACACCACCAACAGCCCGTCGACCACTACCACAGGCGCTCTGGGCCTTCATGTCAACAACTGTACAGGTCTTTGGGGGGTCAAGCCGGTGTACTTGCTCGTCGACTTTTATAATCGCGGTCCATCCATTGATACTGCGGATAGGCTGAACGGCATCCAACCTGTTGGGAGAGAAAAGGAGCCTTCAGGATCATCAGCAACGGCATTGTGGACGCGGTTCTTGAGCGCTCAAGGGTTGGTTGTATTCAGTGTATTTTGGGGGCTTGTGTTGTCTGATATTTGAGTTGAACCAGACTGGTTTTAAAAGCAGCGGGCTGCTTATCAGGAATACATGCATCATTTAAGTTGAGCATGCCCATCTTCACGTTCTCCAACATGTCATGAAAGACTTGAATTGAGGGATACCACATTGACATATAAAGGAAAACATATTTTCATAGATAAACTTGTAGAGAATAACCAAAAAAAAACCAAGGTATGTTGCAATAGTAAATTACGAAATCCCTCATGGCAAACAAGAGAGTCCCGTACTCAAACAACATTGCAATTCAATTTCGTCTGATACGCTGCGAGCAGGCATCTGATGACACCAGTTCGCGCGCATCCTGGCTCAAGGACAGCCGCGGGGCATGATGGCTGAGCGAATCAGGCAGGAGACGAGTTGACAGGTATGAGTGGGCGAGTGTTGTGTCATAAAAAGGGACATGAACAGATGATGAGAATGAGGAAGGATGTTCACTCGACACATCCAGACTGCTTTCTTCGGGGCTGCTGTCTGCAAGACAGACTCCAGTGTCACACGAATAGCTGAAAAGAGAAGATTGTGGACAAATGACGTGAGTTAATGACCAAACCACTTCGTTGGCTCCCTGCCAGCATCTTGTCAGGAAGCGAAAACGCACAAGCTTCAGTGCCACTAAGGAGGAACCAATTGCAGGGAGCCAAAGTATAAGGCCATTCTTCATTATGCCCCCCGCGGGGCGTCGCGATACATGAACAATGGGAAGGGAGCAGTCTGTTGAGTCTGGTTGATGATGAAAGCTTTAGTTTGTCCCACTCCAGTCGAAGAAAGTTTTTGGCGGAGCTTCACGACCAACAGCAAAAGCTTTTGCCAACAGACCCACCTGAAAAAAGTGTTGCACGTGACGCTTGGCAGCAGCCGACAGAACAACTGCACCAGGGGTTAGGGTTGACAGCGTGGGACTGGAGAGCAGACGCTGATCACCCCTCCTCTTGGAATGGCTTCGCCTAACACCCAATTCATTTCATCAATCCAGGGGCACCAGGGTTACACGTCTTCAAGTCTATCGTCTCTACAATCCTCGTGGAAATACAACACAGTGAGCCTCCCTCCCCTCCCATTGTCCTCATATGCTCCATCAGTTTATAGTTTTCAAGTTACTTAAAATACTGGGTGCCAGTGATACGGTATTATGTGATGTTGCTGGTTGGTGGTAGGTGTCATCGCCTCCCTCCCAGATATTGCTGCATGTTAAGATAGAAGGAACATGGATCATCTCAGAATAACCCCAATCCATACCTGGTCAGCTGCCTAGCGCCAAATGAAAAGCACATGTCTATACGAGTTCGCCGTCAATCCGAGAAAGTCGCCTGCTCTTTACAGGTAGATCATGTCGTCCCGCGCCGCTGCAGCAACTCGTCAGCATGTTTCCTCGTGGACACACCGTGCAGAATGGGGTCTTACGGCCAGTCCCGATCCACTTCACTGGCACGCCCGTGAACTCCTCGATGAACTTGACATATGCCTGCGCTTGTGGCGGCAGATCCTCCCACTTCCGGACTGACGTGGTCGGCTTCATCCAGCCTTCTAACTCCTTATACACAACCTCGCACTTCTCGAGGTAGCTAAGGTCGGCGGGGAAGTAGTCGAGCTCGGCGCCCGTCTCGGGGTCCTTATAGGCGACGGCAACCTTGATGGTCGGGAATGTGTCCAGGACGTCAAGCTCTGCATGGAGTCAGCATGTTTCCCAAACACACATGTCTCTGCAAGGTGAACATACTCGTCAGGTTCCAGGCCGTGTAGTAGTTGACCGATGCCGAGTACTTGAGCACTACGAGGTCGAGCCAACCACACCTGCGTTTCCTGCCGGTCGAGACGCCCCATTCCCGGCCGATCTGCTGCAGCTTCTGGCCAACTTCGCCGGTGTCCTCAGTCTTGAAGATGCCTTCGCCTACTCTTGTCTGCGCTGGTGTCAGAAAAACCAATGATACAAACAAAGGGGGTGACATACGGTATATGCTTTGGCAACACTATCGGATTGTTATGTCAGCAACCTAACGCACAAAAAAAAAGCAAGACTCAGAGTACGAACCCAATGATTTCCCTACAACGAGCACAGTTAGCAGGCCATTCCTCGAGCGAACGAACATGCGGGTAGCTCACTTGATAGTTCGCGGGTTGATGGCCAACCCGGTAATGACACCGCCCAGGCCAGTGTTGCTGCTAGTGACGAAGGGATAGGTGCCGTAGTCAATGTCCAGCATCAACGCATTGGCTCCCTCGACCAGAATCTCAACCCCATTTTTCTGGGCATTAGCCATAAAGTTCACAGCGTCAACCACAAACTCGGGCAACTTCTTGCGGTACTCGCGGAAGCGAGCAATCTCCTCCTCAACATCATACTCGAGCAAATCACCAAAGCGCTTCTTGTAGCCAGCAGCCAGCCGACGCAGCTTAGCCTCGAAGTGCTCCTGGTCGAAGATCTCGTGCACGCGTATCCCGTTGCGTGCGGCCTTGGTCGAATAAGAGGGGCCGATGCCGCGGCCCGTTGTGCCGATCTTCTGGTTGGCCAGCTCGCGCTCCTCGAGACCATCGACGCGCGCATGAAGCTCCAGGTTGACCTGCGCGCGGTCACTGACGAGCAGCTTCTTACGCGCGTGCGTCAGGCCCTTGGCCTCCAGCGTCTCGAGCTCCTTGAAGAAGGCCTGCACGTTGAAGACCACGCCCGACCCGATCAGGTTGATGCAGTCCGGATTCACAAGGCCCGAGGGCAAGAGGTGAAAACTGTGCACAGGTTTTATGTCAATGGCTTTGTTTTGTCGTCGGTGTCTCAAGTCAACGGGTGGTACCGTACTCGTACTCTACGCCGTTGGCACTGCGGACAAGACAATACGGTTAGTTCATTTGTTCTCTTTGTATCACACCGGAGGTATTTTTGACTTTGAGACACATACACAACCGAATGGCCTGCATTATGGCCGCCTGCCGCGCGGGCGCAGATCTGAGCCTTTTGGCAGAGAATGTCGCTGAGCTTCCCCTTACCCTCGTCCCCTGTCGCCGAGATGCGCTCCAGTCAGCAAACTACCCCTCCAGAAACTTTCGGAATGTTCAAAGGCAATTTCCAGGCAGCAAACTGGCAGCACCTTACCCCATTGGGAGCCCAGAATGATGGTGGTCATGTTTTCGAAGAGGCCCAAAAAACTGGCAGCAACCGCAGTTTAGTTCGCAAAAATCCCAAAAGGAGGAAAAAGGGAAAATTTTCGGTTTGGTGACGATGCGCCGGTGTCGAGGGACTTTGTTTGCGCAATCAGGGCTCTGCTCCTGGGTCTCAGATCTCTCCGTCTGCGGGCGGGTGACGGGCCCCGTCACCGTACGCGGGGCTTTTTTGGTGGGGCAATTTTTCCTGACTCACTGGCCAGGGGCAGACAGCGGTGTCGCCTCCAGGTTACTCTCACTCTGCAGTTGCAATTGCAGGGTCTTTTGCTCCTGCAAATCGCGAACTGCAATGTGTCAAGCCTAAAATTGTCCTCTGCTTCTGCTAGTGCCTGTCACTTCTTTGACAGCTGAATTTTTTTTTATTAACCGCACAAGTGGACGATCTCCTTCAGGGGTTCATTCAGTCGCGGTCGAGAATAAACGCGGGGCATGGATCGGCTTCGGACTGCCCTGTTCAGTGTCCACAAACAATTCAGCGCGGGACATGTCAGCAAAGTTTAGCCATTGCCCCCCTCTCTCCCCCTCATGAAAAGTCTCGGCCATTATCTTGGCCGTCGTTAAAATGCCTCTCTTTGTGCCGCCAACCAACAGAACGGCTCCCTCCGACACCGGTACGAAGTTACTGCGGGCTGGTCACCGAGCGCCAAAATTATATTTTGCTCTCGCATACTTACCTCTTGGAAGGCAGGTTGTTGGACCACGGCTTTGACTTGCGACATTGCCACTCCCTACCCGTGGGATTTTGCAGCGGCGTTTACATCTGCAATCTCTCATTCATCCTCACCTGCTCCTGGCTGAGGACTGTCATACAGTTTTGTAGATAACTCGGTACCTTCACCCTTCATATATAACTTAGTATCACATATTTTATTCTCCTGATCTTGGAAAAGCAGCCAGAGAGGCAGGTTGATTAATGCTGCATGTTATGGAAGTTGTGTTGTCAGTCTTCGTGGGACCAGGGACAAAGACGAAGACAAGACAATGGCATTGTATGTCTGGCTATTGTCCCTGTTCCGTTTGTGCCACCATCATGCATACCTACCTAACCAGTTGAACTATTTGTGAAGGTACTTACCTACCTAGATATCCCTCCTTTTCGGCAACCGACCAAGCAGCCGGCGGCGCTTGCATGTTAAGGCCGAGAGCCCCCTCCTTTCCCGGCCCGGTCCGTCTAAGCTTGGGGACTTGGCTCCTGGTTTCTCCACTGTCGGGGCACAGGTCCGATCCGCGTGTGGAATTGTGTTCCCTTGCACGGACTGATCTTCCCGGACATTCGACCCTAACAGAAGTTGGCTATGACGCAAATTTCCGGGGACTGTCAGCTAGTCCCCTACATATCTGGACATGGATGACTGAAAGTTCGAACAATGTTAAAGACCAGATATCTTAGGCGTGGATGAAAACTATCAGCAGCTTTGTTCATTTGCTGTCTCGAAGCAAAGTCGGGTCAAATTGTTGCAGTAAGTCATCTCAATCATGATCCTCACCTGAGGTATCGAGCCATGTCTGTATTGTGTCCAATGTCATACAACTGGAAGTGATTTTGGCCGCAGTTGTTGAGAGCCTACAGTATAGGTGTTCCCTGATCTTAGTCACAGTATGAAGTGTAACTAACCCAGCTGCCAAGTTAAGAGGTGATCTAATCGTAACCCCCCCAGGAAACGAGGTTCGTATGTACCAGGTATAGAAAGTCTCAGCGGCAATCATGTCAACTATATATATATATATATAACCATCTTACGCTTTGTAACCGGTCAGTTGGTTTGGTTTCGTGATGCATATGCCTACTGCCAGTCTTGCATTCTGTGTCTAGAGTTGTGTGACACTAGGAATCAACTCTGAAAGGGCGGACTGTTATTGCTGAGATATCAGTTATTGATGCCTGCCAGCGTGTTTTTGAAGCCAGGTTGAATAGCAACAGAATGAAGCAACTGACGAGCAGATGGCAGCGCGACTATAAGCTGACTCGTGTGAGAATATTTTTAGAAAATTCCATATGTATAATGCGTCGCATCTAAGGCCCAAAGTGGTGAGTAACTGCACAGTACCCGATGGAGTCCTTAACACCTGAAGATGACCGACAAGAGATGTGCGTGTCATTCGATCTTTATTGATCACATTTACGTACCCTGGCACCGAGAAAAATGCTGCCTGCCCCAACTTAGTGTTGGTCACTTTGGACTATCTCTCACTTGATGTTACAATTTAAAAGTTGTGTGTACCCGACTCAAGATCATAGAATTGAACACAGGGGAAGTTCTCCAAGCATGTCAACAGGCGGACGGGACGGGACAAAGGTCAAGCCTCGGACTTTGTCACTTGCCGTTTCTGACCAAGGACAACGGCCCGAGCCAATCAGCGTGTAGCAATCCTGGTGTAAGCCGGCAACGCCGAGTCGCCAGCCACCATCACCGACGGTTTTTGACGGCCAAAACGTAGCCGAGATGATTGAAGGTATCGAACCCGTTACTTACATCCTTGAAAGAGCTTCCGGTCATCAATTTCGCTTTCACTCATGCCATTTCCTACGTACCTACGTACACTACTCTCTTTTTCACGGAGAGCATGAAAATGCAACCTGATGACGCGGGGTATGCGTGCACCGTCCCAGCAGCAAAAAATCTTTGTCTAACCTGGTACTTCGGATCCGGGGCAAAGGCATCCGAGTCAGAATCGGAATCGCCAGTTCTATCATTCCAATCTAACCCGACCGAAAAGCGACCCCACCACGGAAGGAATCGGTGGCCAACAAACAAGAGCGCTAGCAGCCGTTCACCCGGCAGTGGCGCTAGTTCCCGGCAAGGCAGCTGGGCATGCTGTGTGGATGCCCTTCGTGGCTTGAATCTCTTGGGCAACACGGCACCGAGAGCCTGGAATTAAAGAGAGGTATATATCTGAGAAAGACGGAGTTCATACGAAATGTCACGGTCACCACGGAGACTGGCCCAAGATCGATATCGCCGTTGGCAGATACGTAGACGAAGATAGGACTGGGATGAAAGGTCACCAGTGTGTCACCGCATCTCAATATCGGTAGATATATCTGTATGATATGTAACGGGCAGCAATGTCACAGCCGCTGACATGCAGTAGCACGAAAGGGCGCGAAAATCGATAAGTACATAGGACCAAATCCGGTAGTCTGTGATGTCTATTGTGGTGGTGTCGTGGATGTCGCTGCTGCAGCCAGTTGTTGTTACAGGCCAGACCCATGGTCGGGCTTTTCCTTCCAGAAAACACTTGCCAAGCCAGATGGCCCCGGGGAAAGCGGGTCCCTGCTCTGTTGTGCGATGCTGCAGTGCAGCCTTCGTGCGGCTGTTGGGGGAGAGCGGGTCAGTCTTGGATTTTGTTGAATGAAATTGGCCAATGAGACGCGTCGTGAATGGGTTGAAAGGACAAAAAAATGTCCATCGCAAACCTCGGCAGATGAACTTCTCTGCGGGCCTTTTCGCCATCGATGACAAGGGATCCAACTTTTTTTTTCTTTCTTTTTGTTTTTCATTCAGATCGAAGCATGTGAAAGCGGACAGGGTACGTGTTGCGGTCAGCACAAATCTCCGACATCCAGGTGGTCGGGGTCGGGATTTACTGGGTCCGGCACGCCGACGGTGACTCCACCGCCCACGATCCGCGATCCAAGACGTGGAGAACAAACCTTCGCGGCGCAAAAACGAGCACAACGCAGTCCAGGCCAAGCAGCGCCCAATGAAGTGCCTACACAGTACACTAAGTACCTAGCCAGGACAAACTTGGGATGAAGTGAGGGGAAACAATGTAGGCACTGGGACCGGCACTGCATGGAGGGAGGATTGGGCTGGTGGAGCTGCGTGACCGGTCAGACCCGCAGTCGCATCCAGCGCGGTATTGTGACCAGAGCGCGCGTTCCGTCTCATCCGAAGCTTCCTACGCTTTGCTGAGTTCGCTGTCCGCGGGCCGCCGTGCCCATGTTTCTGTGCTGGCACTGCTGGGCTGGGCTGGGCTGTTTGCAGCTTTTGCCTTTTCCAGGTTGCTTCTGTGTTGCTGCGTGGGTGACCACTGACAGCCAGTAACACAGACAGCGGCCGTCAGCTACGCCCGCGTCTTATCACAACATGTGGCATTGGCCAATCAAGACGCTGGCCTGGACGACCTGGAGCGTGGGCGTGTGAATGCAGGTTTAGACGCAGCAGTGTGTAATGTGTTTTCTGAGGGGGTGCCGGTTGATATTGTTGATTGTCGATGTTTCTCGAGAGGACTCTGGCGCTGGCAGGGTGTTTACGTACTGTTCAGGGTTCTGAGGCGCTGGGCAGTGGCTGACTGACAAGACTAACACTGTCGTCGCCATGCGCTGGCCCGGCGCCGCTGCATTGGCTTCGCAGCATGTTGGCACGCTGGCGCTGGTCGCTGGCAGGTGGCGGCAAAAAGCCTAAAGAAAAAAATCAAGAAGTGGAAGGCCCACGACCACGATTCCGATGATTCCAATGCGCGCGCCGCCAACCAGCCTGGCTAGTAGCCGGCCACAGGGACTGCAGGAACGGGAATGGCGCGGGGCAGGACAGCGGGCAGAGGCGGCGATCTGGGTAGGGCAGCTTTGAACTTCCTGCCACAATATACAGGGCCTTTCTTGTCACTCATTATATAAGGTATTTACCTACCTTATGTAGGTAAATATGTAAACACATCGTGATCCTCTTCCTTCCTGTTGGGCATCTTTTTCAAGTTTGATGTCCGCACCGGCGGCCTTTTTTTCATCACATCTCGAAGTCAAGTCCACCCCGCCATCATCACGGTATCACCCCTCTTCGACCCCTGCTCTTTTTCTTTTATCTTCCCACACATCCAGCACATCACCTTCTGGCTCCCGTAGAAAACTCCGATCTCCGGTCTACTGGTGGTCGTCTGAGTGACGAAGAGCGCGATTCCCGGCCAGACCGTGTCCACACGTGGGCAAGCCCTTCCCTGCCGAGTGTGACGTCCAGATTAGCGGGTTCTCGGACGGCTCTGCACCTCTGCATCTCGCGCTTGGGAATCCCTACGTAACTTTTTTTTTTTTTAAAGCGTTGGAGTTTGCCTTTCGCCCTCCCTTGCTACTGCTTTAAGTCCTCTCCCCCTCCCCTCCTTTCCTTCTCGCCGTTTTCCCCTTCCTCTTCAAACGCATCTTCGTGCGGTCTGTCGGGCTTGTCGTCAGCATCAAGTCTGCAAAGATGGCTTCTCTCCCCGTCTTCCTGTCCTTCCCCCCGTCCTCGCTGCTGCGCGTCCCTCCTGAGGGTGCCGACACTTCCGGCTTTGTTCCTCCGCCGCCAGCAGGCAGCACGCCTTCGGCCCCTCCGTTCGACATTCCCGATCACATCTACTACGCTGCTCTGGACTTCCGCGTGCCCATCACCATCGCGACCATCTACGCCGTTACCGCTAAGCTTCTGAACGCCTACAACAAGGCGAACGGCAAGAAGCCGTGGGCTATCAGCAAGACCTTCTTCTTCCACGTTTTCGTCATTCTCCACAATGTCTTCCTGGCCGTCTACTCTGCCTGGACCTGGTGGGGCATGTTTAACACTCTTCGTCGCACCGTCGTGAGCCCTCTCGGCCCCACGGGCGTTGCTGGCCTCGTCGACTCTATCTGCGGCATCAACGGTCCGGCCGGCCTCGGCAACGCCGCCTTCTTCGACCCAAAGACCAAGACCTGGCAGTCGTATGCTGCTGACGCCTCTGCCGTCTTTGGCCCGGATGGCCGTCCCAGCCGCTTCGCTACCGGCCGTCTGTGGAACGAGGGTCTGGCCTTCTACGGCTGGCTCTTCTACCTGAGCAAGTTCTACGAGGTCTTTGACACTCTCATCATCCTCGCAAAGGGCAAGCTCAGCTCGACTCTGCAGACCTACCACCACGCTGGTGCCATGCTGTGCATGTGGGCGGGCATCCGCTTCATGTCTGTACCTATCTGGATCTTCGTCTTCTTTAACTCGCTCATCCACGCCATTATGGTAAGTTATATCGGACAGCCTTTTTTTTTTTTGCATGTCTGACTAACTCGTGATAACAGTATACTTACTACACGGCCACGGCTCTTCACATTCGGGTGCCCATGTTCATCAAGCGCTCTTTGACCTCCATGCAGATTACCCAATTCCTCGTGGGCGGTTCCCTTGCCATGGCTCACTCCTTCGTCCACTACACCATCCCTGTTATTGCCGGCTCCAAGACCGACTCTGCCTCTGGCGCCGCTGCCTCAGCCGCTGCGGGCTCCGAGTCCGGACGCCTGATCGCCGTCAACCTTCGCGACGATGGCTTTCAGGGCGAGTACACGAGCCAGGACATGCCGTGCATCACCAACAACGGTGCTACGGTCGCTGTCTGGCTCAACGTCTTCTACCTTGCCCCTCTTACCTACCTGTTTGTCGCTTTCTTCATTGAGAGCTATCTGCGCCGCTCAAATGCTGCTGCCAGCGCCCAGGCTGCTGCTCGTCGCACCGGTGGTGTCGATGCTCGTCGCTTGAGTAACGTCCAGCTCGCTGAGAAGGCTGGCTGGGAGGCGGCAAAGAACATTGAGCGCGAGGTATATGGCGAGAACACTGAGGAGGCTGTTGTCTCTGAGAAGAGCAGCAAGAAGGCTAACGGCAAGGGCCGTGTCCTGCGCAACCGTTACTAAATGTGGTGGTTGTTAAGGGTGTGGACGCCGGCCTATTGTCGGGGGCATCGTTGATGCTTGCTGCCGCAGCTGGCGGGTCTTCTTATATTGACAAGGAGTATGATGCGGGGAGCGGTCCCGCAGGTCACTGATCTAATGGGACCAAATCCACACAGACATGAGCTACCTACCACATTCGTCACGCTTGTGATTGAGAGCCATCATGAGTTTTCATGAGCCAGGTTGGACTCAGTACATACCAACCAAAATCATGGCAAGGAATTGAAATAGAAAAAGTCGGGTGTATATCGAAATGGCGGGCTTTTTTGGTGATGGGAGAGGTGGCGGCTTTTTTTTGGCATGGAAGGATGTCTGTTTTCTTTGACACAAGCACAAGCATCGGGTTGGTTATAACTGCATTGGCATCTCTGTTTTTTTTTTTTTCTTTTAGAGAAGGCTTGACATATCTTAGGCATACTGGTGATATGGCGGGGTTTAAAAAGGGAAATACATATCATTTATGATACGCGATCGGATGCTGTTGTGATGCCCTCTTGTAAAAGGCTACGGATACATGCTAATGATTAATACTTTTGTGGGTAATCCATAATCCTTAATTACATGAAGTACGAAGGTTGATCACCGGCTTTTGATGACTCATGGTGAGACATAGCAAGATTGCAGGCAGCGAGTCATTCCATACACTGCTTCCTTTAACTTTCCAGGCATACATTAATCTCATTCTTTGCCATGGTTATGAGAGAAGTAACTGGTGCATACTTCGGCCGTGTAATGATGACACTACAATGAGGTATCAATCAACAATTCCAAGTACTTGCTGACTACTAAATAAAAATCTTGAGAGTGTTCTGGTCAGGACAAGTTAATCTGAAAGATCATAAGCACCACCTCTCTAATGTTCCCAACATCTGTCTAGAGACGGAGTATTTCGGCCTATGGATCCCTCAACGAAATAAACCCAATGGGTATCGTTCTCTACTATATTTTACCAGCAACTCTTGACATTTACGAGAGAAACAGCTCTTTCACCAAGAAAGTTGACTTCAGTCTATCCTCCACCGTGCTAATGTTGTTATCAGGATAGAAGAAAACAGGAAAAGGGGGGGTAAGAAGAGGAGAGGGGAATTCAGTGACGTTTTTATGTACAATTTCCCAAGGCAAAAGCCAGGAAAGAGAAGACGAGGAACAAGAGAAAAGACTTGGTATGAAATGTGAAATGTGAATTGACTCAACCAAGAATGAGGAGAGGACGGAATGAACGCTCGGATATGGGTATCAACCCATACAAAAGCGACATCTTTCTAAAAGCAACGTAGACACGAATCACACATTCCAATTACATAAGACCAATAAGAGTGAAAGGGCATCAAAGCAATCATCATTATCCCTTGTCCCTAGGTCTTTGAAGCAGACATAAAACGCCTACCAATGCAAAAATGCACCTGCATCGTATGCATGAGAATGCTCCCAATACCCAGATAAGTGAGGCGATACCCAAGAAACAGAAAAAAAAAAGCAAATTGGACCGACTCAACGGACGATCGTATTATCGTCACCCATTAGATCCCTTTCTACCAACTCGTCATCACATGTCCCACTGACATTGCCAGCAGATAAGTGACGATGAGAAGGTCTCATCACACCGATATCCAATCACTCTGTGGTCAAACAACCTTGTGGTATCAAAAGCAGATGCAAATGGGAAACAACAGCCAAGAAACAAGAAATCAACACAAGACGGGACGAAGAAAACCAGAACCCATCGCCCAAATCCAACGAGCCCAAAGCGAGAAAAAAAGAAAAAAAACGGTATCCCAATCTTCGCCGCAATGTGGGTGAGCGTCATACCCAAATCTGCGCCGTCCCGGTCTCCGTGACGACCGATGCGTTCCATATCCTTTACACATAAAGCGCCATTCTCTCTCTCTCTCTCTCTCTTTATCGTGCCCCCACCCAGTTTATACTGTAAGCAGTAGAAGTCTTCCCCTCTGAGATAAAACGAGATAAGCAAAATCAGAACCATATCCGTTCGCCTGTTATCTTTCCCCACTGTTTATACAACTTGTCCTCTTATAAGAAAACCAGGAAAACGCAAGAAGGGTAGCGACTTCTAGATAGCATTAAAGGTCGTGTGGGTGAGTTGGTGATATTGTATTGGTTGAGAATATTTGGTCTGCCAACAGACTGGTCGACTAGTTGGCTGGTTGGAGCGGGTGAGAGGGATAAGCTTTTTGTTGGTATTTCCTATCGTCGGTAGCCGATTGGGCGAAGATCCGAGGCTGTGTTGTAAGAAGGTGACTGGGTGAGTGATAGGTAGCATAGCGTAGCGGTAACTGTCCGGTGACATCATCCAATTTAAAATGTGCTCCAATGCCAATCTCTCGGCACGCTCTGGGCTACCTCTGCGGGAGCAGCAACACCGCCAGTACCAGCAAGACCGTTCGCTGCGGTGGGGGAACCGGCGATGGGTGTGCTCGGTGTTGTCCTGGCGTTGTTTGGGTCAACCGGGGAAGAAGACTCCTGGGTGGTCGAGGACGAATAGCTACCCTTGCGGGCGCGGAAGGCTTTGAACTCGGCGTAGCAGTGGTCACAACAACGGCTCATCACACCACGTGGGTTGAAGTTGGCGTCTTGGTCAAGAGGAACCTCATAGGAGCTGTGCATGTCGCAGAAGATGTTGCCACACCTCCGGCAGTGATGCCGGCGTGTAAAGTAGTTGAAGGACCGCCTGCAAGTGGCGTGGTCGCACATGGTAGACTCATGATCAGGCTAGTAAGCGGGATTGCGTGGTCAGTGCTATCGCACTCAACCATGTTGCAGTCTAACACAAAGGAGAAACACAGTGCATTCTTACCTTCCAGTGCTTCCTAGTCGGCGCGCCAGTTGGCTTGGGGAATTGCTCGAGATCCCAGTTGCCTGCAAGATTCTTCGCGCTATCGCCAGTCGAGCGCTTGCTTAACCTGCCTAAAGCGGTCAAACCGCCCAGGCTCAACAGACTGCTGGTTGGCCTCGGGGGGTCCTCCTGTTCCTCTTCATCCTCAGGCTGCTTCCGCCTCGAGGGCGGCTCCTTGGAAGGAAATTCAGTCGGACGAAGGACAGCAGGGACAAACAAGGGCCGGATCTGACGGGAGATGTAACTCTTGGGGTTTGAAGGTGATATGGTGGTCGGGTTCCCAAGTGGTGACAGCGGTGATGGGTTGTATGGAAGGGGGCTTTGATAAGCAGTCGAGATCTGTGAGGGCGCATAAGCCGATGGCTGCTGCTGGTGGTACTGCTGCTGCTGCTGATAGGCGTAGTAGGGCATGTGCGCCTGCTCTGTTGGTATAAGAGGCATGATGTACTGAGTCGCCATGGCGAGAGCTGTGTAATTGGGAGGTTGCGAGAGTGGTCTGAATATGATGGTGGTGCGGTGGTGATGGTGAGAATGAAGCTAAGTTGCGTGTGGGATTAGAGGGGCGGGTGAGCGCTAAGTATCTTCAATAATGGGGCGAGTATGTGAGCCAGGTGGAGATCTAGGTTTAGTGTAGATTCACGAGGAGCCCAGGGTAAGGTGAGAGGGTGAGCATGCGCCGAGATGCCGAGCTGAGATCGCGTGGTCTGTAAGTAGCGGCTGTGCTGGGATTTTCTCTCTTTTGCTTCCCAGTGCAGAGCAGATAATAAAGTAGGGAAGAAAGCGGAAGGATTGCAGATCAATGATGGGCAGCAGGTAGAGCAGGAATGGTGCGCAACGGCATGCGAGTCGGTTGAGGCGGGGAAGAGGCGAATCGGATTGGAGATGAGTGGCGACAGGAGCTGTTAGTGACCTTGAAGCCGGATGGAGAGCAAAACAAGATGCGATGCTGCTGAACTAGAACCGGATCTCTCAGCAATGCAATGCTTCGTACCGGTCCCTACCGCCACTGAACTGACTGGGATATTATAACGTGCTGGGCTCTCCCGCAAGTTCTAGTGGCGCTTCATCGGCAGGGCGAGGCAACAGATATATGGGAGAGTGTAAACCCGTGACGATTGAAGGCAGATGGCAGATAGGAGCAGAGATATGGCTGAGCTCAACGGCTACTGGACGGAATGGGGGTTATACTGGATGAGGGAATGGAGCAGGATCGAGGTGCGAGCGTGTTAAGCAGTTAGTGTATGCAGATGGGCCATGGGCCAGAAGGAACCTGGAAGCGGGGGATCGCGTAGCTGACTGGAGACGCGATAACTGCAGTGTCCAGTCCTTAAGACGCAGTGGATGAGAGCACAAGGTTGAGAGCACGGCGCAAGGCAGAAGACAGAGGGCGCTACAAAGCGTTGATGAGGGCCGGAGTAGCGAGCAGCGAGCAGCATCCACAGTCTTTTCTAATTACGGGTGGGCCAACCGCATGGACGACGGCTTGCTGAGCGTGATGGCATCGTTGCTGTGGACCATGGATGGGGGAACTGGGATCTCGCAGGGGGCCCAGGAGAGAGCAGGGAAAGAGAGGCCTGCCAGGGTGAGGGTAGGGAAGGTGGACAGCGAAGGTTCCGTTTGACTCTGGGTCTGCGCTAGGTCCTCTGGTGATGGGTGCTGCTTCGGAGTCCCAACCTGGGAAAACACAGATCTCCGGGGGACCACCAAGGAGCGGTGGAACCAGTGCTAGAGTTACCGGTAGAGGGAAGGTGCGTGCGTGCGTTTGCAACGGCCTTCCAGGCTAACCTGGTTGCAGTGCTGGGTTTTTTAGTTGAACGTTGCAGTTGTAGGCAGGTAGTTGTTTTGCTTCCAGGTTTGTTTTTTGCTGTGCTATGCTGCGCGGGCAAGAAGTCTCGTGCTCTCTACCAGTTGTTTGTGTGTGGACTCGTCGGATGAGGTCAGACGGAGTTTCAATGGAGAGTTAGGACCGAATTGCCTTTGCCCCGTCCTTCCTGGCTGTCCCGACGGAAGACCATTGCTGCATTCTCACTGACTGGCTGGCACCGTCAGCCCAGCCGCCTCCCACACAGTGAACAATCCGGTCCGGAGTCCGGCCTTGCGCTCTGCACCCTGCACTTTGCGTTGCATGTTGCAACTGACGGGGGTTGCATGAGCCCTGACCCCTGCGGCTCCCAGGAGTCCTGGCTCGACATCGCAAGGCACGCGACTGGATCAATAGAATGTGATCTTCGCTTCCAGCGCTCCAGAGAGGTGGAGAGCAAATCTCTTGCCGTCACTACCTTCTGCGGCATGTCCAACCTCTTCAAAACAGAGTTGAAATGTGTCCTTGAGCCTCCTGAACTGCGGCAAGCCTAGAGAGCCTACAGTCGTCAGCATCACCAGACAAATTGAGGGTGTAGATAAGCGCATGGGTGGAGCCATTTACAAACTCTTTGTAAGAGATTTCCGATCAGGCAGTTCAACCTGATCCTTCGGCATGGCCCTCGTCCCAAAGACCTGAGCACCCCGTTACTGCGATACGAAATGAGTCGCCTAAGCAAAGCCTGGTTTAATGCGTGTATCGGGCCGTGCACATGGGAGAGCCGGGGCTGTCAGGTCCATTTGCACCCTTTGGGCCCCACTCCCCACCCTTCCTCTGCCGCGGATGGAGGTGGCCAATCGAAATTGCATCAGCCTCGGCGACGGGGAAGCTTTTGACCGCCCGCAACGTCCGTGGAGATCGAAGCCACGGACGCCAAGACTGACCGTGCCACGTCTCTTGTCGCCTCGCCCAGGAGGAGCTGACCAACAAGCAGCCTCACTGAGACGGCCACCAACGCATCATCATCACCGCCAACCAAACCGCAGAGACCGCCTCGTTGTCGACGATATTGTGCCGACTCATTCTTCCTGACTACATCAAACCACCATACTTACGTCCCTCCCTTACCTTTTATCCCGTTTTTCGATAACTGAACGATCGTGTGGCCACCGATCGGCAGAGAACGAACGATACCTACCTCTCCCCAACCCGTGTGTCGGCGATCCCCCCGACCGGAAGCGCCCCACATCCCCGAGTGTCGCCGAAGCCTCTCGCCGGCCCCGACAATCCTGCTGCTCCGTCCATCCGCTACCATTGCACTCCACCCTCCGTTGACGTCACGGACCGCATCCCTTCCCGTGGACCCAGTCTCTAGCCACCACCATGAAGCTTTACTACGTCGGCGTACGTTGGTACCCAGCGATATCACATGCTCGGCTCAGGGGCAACCCGCGGTCTGACATCGTAGCTAGGTTCTCGACAACACCAAGAGGCCCGCTGTCCAACTATGCGCGGCGCACGAGCTCAGCGAGTTCTCGCGGTGGACGAAGAATGAATATGCCGCCTTCATGACCATGATCAGCAAAACCGTGGCCGAGCGAACAAACCCAGGCCAAAGACAGTCAGTTGAGGAGGGGGGTACGTTGACCCTATCCTCCCTTACCATCGCAACAGTTCCTGACTAACACGACTGCCGCCATCCAGACTACGTTGTCCACTGTTACGCGCGCACCGAGGGCGTCGCAGGTGTTGTTATCACCAAGGACTATCCGCACATTGCGGCGCACAGTGTGCTGTCCAAGTTAATGGACCAGTTCCTGTCCGAGAACCCCCTCGATAAGATCCGCTCGGCTAGTAAGGACGGGGACATTAACTGGCCCGCTGTCAACGACTTCCTCAACAACTACCAGAACGCCAACGAGGCCAGCAGCATCGCCCGCATCCAGCAGGAGCTGGATGAGACCAAGATTATCCTGCACAAAGCCATTGATAGCGTGCGCTCCCCTTCCACCCCCCCCCCCAAATTAGCCCTTTTTTTTTTTTTTTTTGCTTTGTTCTTCCCGGAAGGACTAACCGTTCGAAATCATAGGTCCTTCAACGTGGCGAGAAACTGGATGATCTCGTGGCCAAAAGTTCTGACCTGAGCGCCCAGAGCAAGATGTTTTACAAATCTGCCAAGAAGCAGAACTCGTGCTGCCTGGTCATGTAAAAGGAGTGTCGGAAGTGTCAGCTTGCCTTATTCATATACAAACAAGGTTTCACTCTCCTTGTCCCGTGTGTAAGCGCGCTCGGATACCATAACCACCTCAAAACTTTCATACCTAATATTCCGCCGCTACAAAGAGGCGATCCATAATCAGCTCCCTTGCGTGGCCACATGCCTAGCTGCTGTCTGACGAAGACTAGGTAACATGCTATATTGGTTAGTCTGTTGGCAGGTAATGATCTTCTGATTTTGGGGATGATGGGTAGAGTTGGGAGGGGCGTTTTATGCTTGTCGATATAGTTGATTACGTATTACTCCTAAGAGCTGATTTTCACTGTCGGACCGATGGTAACCTCGTTTGCTTGCTGCGCCTAGAGAGTGCCAAAGTGATTGAAAAAGGTCAAAAAGAGCTCAGTTCAAGCAAATGGGGTTCTACCATTTCGTGGCTTCCATGACTTGCCATGTTCCCGTACATTTGCTTCCGGAGGAAAATGAAGGTTAACAGTAGAAAGATCACTCTTTGCCAGCCTTTCCAAGCAAAAAGCAAAAAGCTCAATTGCAGCCATCTGGCCGTGTTGCGGAAACCCGCGGACCATACGGCCGACGACAGTCCTTCAGCCCGGCTTACATGGCCAAACCAGCCGAAGCAGTCAGCTATGCACTTAAATGATATACTGTGCAGAGTATGCACGTAACGAAACATCCCACTCTCCTCGCCCCAATCCAACCCACCAATTCGACATACTGTTACACTGCAGATGCAGTCTTCAAGGCTCTTCATTCTTGTTTCTATGGCTTATTTATGTCGCTTTCTGACATACCCTAGGTATCGGCATCCATGTCTAAAGACGGCATAGGTTAGAATCTCTATACCGCGACAGCCGCCGAGAGAGGTATACCGTGCAAGCTTTATACATTCATCCGCTCTCACCTAGAGTCTAACGGGTATCCCGTGCGGAGAAAACAGTGCCATTGCTCCGTCCCGGTGCGGCGCTAAGTTGACTGTATCCATAAAAGGTAGCCATAAAAGTTTATTTTTTTTTTTTGCAAAGACCGATACACTGCATACAGAACAGTCGTCCGGGTTGCAAATGAAAGCCGGGAGCGATACGCTCGGGTCGGCTTTGGCTGTGAGGGAAATAGGCGGGCAACCAGCAAGCAGGCTTGCCATGTTGCCATGGGATCATCGTCCATTGTTCACTCATGAAAGGCCACGGCTCAACAGGATCCAAGCTCTAAAGATTATTAATTGGGTCACCGCCTTCCATGTACCTTACCAACATATCCGTTCGTTGCCTGGTGCTCGTCCCCAGCATTTAGGAAAGCATTCTGCCTTCTCTTCGGCAGCACTTTATCTTCACGTTCTTGTCAATGTCCCGGAAGTGGGCGGGCGTTTTGAACGGCGTAATGGATACCCGCAGGCCTTGGGGCTGGCTTTTCCAGCCAGTAGGGGCCCGGGAGCTGCTCTCGTCCTCGCCCTACCCTCCATTGCTTAACATCGCTCCCAAGAAAAGATGCTGACAAGGGTTGGCTGCGAACGTTGCACTGCATGCATTAGGCTCCACCGCCCGATAAACATGCCCCGAATGGTTGGAGGGGATAAGCATACAGCATGTGATTGGTTTAAGTGAAGAAAAGGTTATCGCAGACATTTTATTGGTCAGAGTTGCATCATGTCTCAGCCAATCATCTCAACAGCAGTGCTCTGGCCACCCGATTTTCGGAGGGTCCACTTTTCCACCCGACTTTCAGAGGGTCCACTTTTCCACTCTGGCATCCCACATTCAGATCCGCAGAAAGACGCAATGAATGTGGGAGGCGGTGTGTTGCGGCAGGTGCGGGTGGGTTGCATTGTGAAACCAGTGCTGCTTTTCAATTCTGGCTGGCTGGTCTTTTTGTGGGTTTTTCACGGTCGTGGCCGGCTTTGATGCCATGCAGATTGCAGATTGCAGAGCCTTTTGATGGTTGAGATCACGGATTGAGAAATGGATGGAAACACAGGATCGCTGCCACCTGATCGATCGATGGCTGCCCCTCGACCCAAACACATCCCCTCTTTTCCGTCTCAAAAAGCCCACCAAGCCAAGAAAATACATGCCAGAGCAGAAGATAGCAGCAGCAGCAAAATTGCGCCCGCGAAACAGCGTGGACCTGTTGTTGCTTCACACTTTCACAGAGCCCCAGCCGGTGCAGCGGCGCTTGCCATCGTTCCCTGAGCAAGGGCGCCTGGTTCTTGTTACGTCATAGCAAACCCCGGCCAGCGGGTCCTTCAACCGCTTGTGCACCGAAGAGCCACCAGTTACTGTGCCGACAGATCTTGCAATGCACGCGTGGTGGTCTCCATCATGATGATGATGCTACGTGCGACTGCGTGGGCGTGGGCGTGGGTGTTACAGAAGCGTGTTTTGCTCCGCTAGCGTGTTAACATACTTGCACATGCGCTACGGAAGAGGGACGTGGGATGATGACGGATAGTGCTTTACTATGCTTCCTCTTGCCTTGTCCTGGCCATTTGCTTCTCTATGTGCATACCACTTGTATTGTACCAGTACATATGCTTCCTTGCGCGGCGCCAGTCCAAAGCTCCCGGCTTGCGGCTTGCCATTCATGCAACTGCACGCCGAATGGAGAGCCGCATTGAGGCAGGGGTAAGTATCTGGGTATTGTGTGTGTGTGGGTATGTTTTACGTTTAATACTGTCCCTACCGAGGGGGCGGCGTTTGGATTGATGTTTGGGAGCATGCGGGATGTTCGAGAACGGAAGCTTGTTTGAAGCTTACCTACACAGTGATGCTGGAAGGGTCGCAGACGACCTGCCTCAGTGGGAATGGGGATGCCGATGCATGACTTTGAGGCGAGATTGACAGAACAGTGTTGATGGTCTGAGAGGCAATGTGTCCTGTCTCTGGTGACGTAGACCGTTCGTTGCGTAGGATGGTCTGGATAGTAACCGGTTTTGTCAGTGACGTGGCCGGCCCCTTCTCCGAATTAAACAAACCAGTTTTGCATCACTGGGCCAGCATCACCAACCTTACTTGACTTGACAGCATACAGTTGTGCCCATGGTTGTATGTAGGCACATCGTAGATCTTGCTATTTGCCACAGCACTGCTACGCGGTCACGAGCGACCTTCATGCTTTCTCAGGTCTTCCTTCTGTCCCTCAACCCATCGTCCACTCTTACCCCCTTCCTTCAGTACAACCCTTAAATCCCCAATCACCATCCCCTTGTCAACCGCCTTGCACATGTCATAGATAGTCAGCGCTGCTGCGCTAGCGGCCGTCAGCGCTTCCATCTCGACACCCGTCTTGCCATCACAAGACACAGCCGCCGACACCTCAATCTCCCCGCCTTTATTCCTCTTCCCATCCTCCCCTTCAATCCCGCCATCTGCAGGATCCCTAACCTCAAACCCAATCTCCACATGCGTAATCATAATCGGATGACAGAGCGGGATCAAATCAGGCGTCCTCTTCGCCGCCATGATCCCCGCGATACGTGCCACGCCGAGGACATCGCCCTTCTTGAGGGCATTGGCGCGCACCAGGCGTAGAGCAGTCACATCGGAGAAGCATACGACACATTTTGCAACTGCAGTGCGCTTGGTAGGCTGCTTGTCGGATATGCTGACCATGTGGGCTTCGCCGGTTGTGGTGAGGTGGGTTAGGCGGGGGGCATTGAGGTCATCATTGGTATTGTCGGATTGACGGCAGTGAGGGATTGAGGAGAAGAAACGGACTTGACGATGGTAGCTTGGAGAAGTGGCCCTTCCGGGCCATGGGAGGGGAGAAGACTGTCTATGAGCGGGCGCCCAACTTGAAGTGAGGCCGATGGGATGCCATGTTGTCTGGGAACGAGCTTGGGATGGGGAATCTATGTAGGACATTACATTTTAGCTATACTGTCCAGATATGATTATGACGCGAGCAATCGCTTTATATGACAAGACATCAATGCCAGCTAATCCATATTCCTTGAACCAAACCGCTGCCCGTACCCTGAGAAAGACACCTAAACGCCGTTCACGTGCAACGTAAATGACAGATATAAAAAAAATTTAGAGGGACAAGGGAGATGGCCATCACCCACCGATCAAGATCATAGGCCGGTTTTTCATGTGTTCCAGTTCGCCAATTCCAGCGTGCTTCGGTTTTTTGCGTTTGACAGCCATGCCGATAACATCAAGCAGCTCCTCAGCATTCGGCACCACGACTCCTTCCGAGGAGCTCGCTCCCTTCTGCTCCATCACGACCTTCTGCAACGACTCCAGCGCCGCCTCATCGATTGGCTCCCCATTGTTTGCCTTGCGCAAAATATCCCGAAGCGACACCTCCGCATTCCCAAATAAACACACTTTCAAGTTCCCATCGCACGTAATCCGCAACCTGTTGCACGTCCCACAAAAGTTATGGGTCATGCTCGTGATGAACCCAATCTTGCCCTTAAATCCTGGCACGCGGTACGTCTTACTGGTGTCATTCTTGCGATCTGGAACCCTCTCCAGATCCGGGTGCCGCTCGCGGATCCTGTCCAGCATCTCCGTGTAACTGACCATCTTGCCCTGCGACCAGCGGTTGCCGTCGAAGGGCATGTACTCGATGAAGCGGACCTCGACGTCACGATTGCGGGTAAGCTCGACAAAGTCTAAGATCTCTCTGTCGTTCAGGCCGCGCATGACCACGCAGTTGATTTTGAATTTGAGGGGCGCACCGGCACGTTTGAGTTGAAAGATGCGGTCGATGGATTTTTGGACTGCTGCGAACCCGTTGCGGCGGGTCATGAGCTGGAATTGCCATGGGTCAAGTGTGTCCAGAGAGAGGTTGATGCCCGTTAACCCTGACTCGACCATGGCGTCCAGCTTGCGGTGCAGAGCTAGGCCATTGGTAGTCAGACACAGCTCACGCAGGCCGTGGGAGCGCAGAGAACCGAGTTGTTGCATCAGAGATACGATATCCGGCCTCACAGTCGGCTCGCCTCCTGTCAGCCGGATCTTGGTCACGCCCTGCTCGACGAAGAGAGAGGAGAGCATGACGATCTCCGGGGTGGTGAGCAGGTTGCGTTGCGGGGACAGTGGCACCCCTTCTTCAGGCATGCAGTACAGGCAGCGCAGATTGCAGCGCTCCGTGACCGAGATGCGGAGATAGTCATGCTGGCGATGGAAGGTGTCTGTCAAGAAGTCGGAGAAGGGTCGGGCATCGCGGATGCGCTCCATGCGAGAGGGCGTGGTGACTGGCCTGGGATTAGGCGATGCCGCCGGTAGGTCATCTTCCTGAGGCCGAATGATTTCTGGTAGAGGCTCTGAAACGGCAGGTTGGGCAGCTTGTGGAACCACCGCTACGGAGGCGATCCGTCTAATATTCAGGGAGCTGTGACTTGATGAGGAGGATCGCGGGAGAGGTGGTGATAATGGGAGCTGCTGCGATGCCCGGGCTGCTAACCGCACACAATGGGCGGCACGCCATATGGCTGATGCCATGACTGCTTTAACCGGTCTTAGATGTTGATGTTGGCAGAAACGATGCTGTGGCAAGGCATGTGGCAGAGTCGTCCCGTTGCGACTCGTCAGGGATGACAGATACGAATCGATTTTGTCGTTGGTGACATACACCTCATCCAACAATATGTCAGCCTGGATTTGAATCTATTGTTTAGCAGGCATGCATATCATACGCCCCCCACCAGATGGAGGTGGGTTGAAAATTACAAGCTGGCTCAACACCGATCTCGCATGTCTCCGCGGACTCGGCACGTTCCCTGGCCCGGTGAGAGGAGTGGGGTTCCAGCTTGGTCGGGGGCGACAAAACTCGGAGACCGGCGATAGCCCGCGGATAGCTAAGCAATTGCCAAGGCGGGGTCTAGAAGGGTGAGTGGGGTGCACATGGCTTGTGGGTTAGGGTTGTTTCGTGGGAGAGAGGCCATTCATGAGGCTTGCTACCTACCCACTGGTAGGTACCTGATATAGAAGAGGCTTTCTTTTTCATTCCGTGACCCCTGGTGTTTGTCGTTAACACACTGTTTAAAAGGTTCATTTTCAGCAAGAATTCACGATCTTGCTCATCTCCTCTGTTTGTCAGATTAACCCAACGGTGTGTATTTTGGCTATAATGCCTAAAGACGGAAATGACCGATCAAGAGGTGCACGAGAGAGGGAGATGGACATGGAATTTCCATCCAAAATGGTGTTGATCAAAGTAGGCATTCATCAGCTAGACATCTCAGCCATCTAGGCCGGAGAACTCACCTCTTCTTTATTTACATTTGCTTTAGAAGTCTGGAAATAGCAGCACATGTCGCTTTGGCAACAAACTTGGTCAAACAGGCAATCTGATTATCAAAGGCCAAAGGAATTGAGCTATTACTGAGTCCTTTCCCTAGGTAATTGCCCTGGCTCTTGTGCTCCGTTAGGGAAATCTCACTGAGACACATAAAAAAACACAACATGGGTGTTGGCGTTGCACTACGAAATCGAGCCTCAGTTGCTTGTTTCTGTTTCACTTGATCTCCGGGTCTTGGTTGTCCCGCAGCTCGACGAGAACCCAGAATACAGGGTTAGGGTTATACCCACGAGAAAGGCTAAGCTAGGCATCCTCGTTGTCTTGGCACCCGGGTGGTGTGGGGGGTTTGTTGCCAGTGTTTGCTTTCCGGATTGGAACTCGAAACCAAACAATGACAAGGGAGGAGCAGGAAGGCCCAAGCATCTATCGATACTGAAGCGTTCCAACATACCTGCCTATCTGAGTGAGGGTTGCTGCTTGCTTGCATCTTCCAAAGCTTCCGTCTTCGGATCTTTTGCCACCAAACCCCTCAAGTCTCCCTTAATCCTTGAAAACGCAGCCCGTGCTCGTATGCTCTCAGATAAGCTGCCGGGGCTTCTCCAGCTTGTCCTCTTCCAAAATGTTATTCTCTCCTTTAAGCAAATGTGAGCAGGCGAGGTGTTATCAAGCAAACAGGTCCTGGCGTCAACACTCGAGCCATGCTGACTGTCTATAGCCTCGCCACACGCTCTTCCCAGCCCTGACGGCAAGTATGTTGCCACTGTCTTCCCCGGCATCATTAATGTCCGCGCTGTCGCTGGCCTCAACGTGGTCAACGTCATCAAACTCGGCCACGACTTCTCTGGTCCCGTGATCAGCTTTCAGTGGTCCAAGTCCTCGCGTCTCCTACTCGTCGCCGATCCTGAGCGCATCCGCGTTGTTTCTGCCCTCGATGACAGCTTCAATGCCACTGTCCGAAACCACGTGTCTGCTGGCACTAAGCCGGCCGTAGTTGACTTTGGCGCCTCAGACTCGGAGATTTGTGTCGTCGCCCCATTCGGCTTGAAGTTCACCGTCTTTGATCTCAAGTCTTCCAGAGCCATCGAAATACCAAATCCTAAGGTCTTCTCCGCCTTGTCTGCTTCTACATGCTTCTCTTTCCGTCCAGAGACACGTCACCTTGCCTTGCTCACACGGTCCGCCGGTAAGGACATAGTGAGTATCCATTCCTTCCCCACGAGAGAACTGCTACGTTCCTGGTCTCCGGACACGGTTGATGCTCAGGGGCTAGCCTGGAGCCCTGATGGACGCTGGCTGGCCGTGTGGGATTCCGCCTCGCAGGGACATAGGATTGTCTTCTACACCCCTGATGGTCATGCCTTCAGGACGTGGGCCGGCCCTACCAATCCGCAGCCCGAAGACCAAGATTTTGCACTCGGTCCGGGTGTCAAGTCGCTCCAATTCTCTGCAGATTCCCGCTACGTTGCTATTGGCGACTTCAGCCGGTCTGTGTCTGTTCTAAGCGTGTCTTCCGTTACGGAGACCTTGCGCCTGCGTCACCCTAAAACGCTTGCTCCAACAGAAACTCTCCAGGTGAGTCGATCCGCCCATTACTACGCCCGTCTCGGTCTTGTCCCGTTGCCGTCTGCCGTCTGCCGCTAACCTTGTTTATGGGGTGGTGCTGTGCTGCAGGTTTGGCAGGAACAGATTGGCATCTCGCATGCAGGGCCAGCCATTCACACCTTTCTTCGTGCTACGCAGCCGATTTCTCCGGCCCCAAGTTCCCGGGACTCTCCAGAGCTGCTGTCGGGATGTTCCCTGATCGCCTTTGACCACTCATCGACTCTTGTAGCCACACGGCTGGACGACTGTCCAACCGCTCTCTGGATATGGGATGTGCAAGTTGCCGAATTGCGCGCTGTCCTCCTGTTCCATGGCAATGTGGCCAGCATCTCGTGGCATCCTCATGTTTCTGAGACATTACTCATCAGGTGCGACGGCGACCAATACGACGGCTCTGCCTTCGTGTGGGACCCCCTTTCGGAAGGGCCCCGGTTTGTCGACTTTGCTCAGCGCCTACCCGCTGCGAAGACATGTGGCAAGCAGCGTGTCCTATGGCTTGGAGCTCCTGACACCGACCCGGCCAATTCCTGTCCTTCGATCTTCTTCTCTGACACCCAAGTCTTTCTGCTGGCTTTCCTTGGCGACTCCGACCAAGGGCCCCCCCCATGGGGTGCTGACGGGCCGCCTAGCCCGACCTTTGCACCACCCGACCGCAGGCGAGTGGAATCGCCCCTCGAGCTCGTCCCGGCAGAGGATGAAAGCGATGATTATAACGAGGTGGAGGACACGTTCATACACAGACGATAACAAACCTGCAGCCAGCCAACCAACCTAGCAAACCGAATACTTTACGCTTGGTCTTTCTGCAGGAGAGAATAGATGGATGTCTTTGATTTGCGGCCGACCCGATGTTTGGCCCCCAGCATCTCAAACAATGTCCTGTCTCTACGGAAATCAAACATCAATGGCCTTACCTGAGCTCATTCGACTGTTGCCAGTTGAATGCATTCTTTTCAGTATCCCCTCCAAAGCCTTTTGTCATCAAGCTGCATGGTATGCACGTCCTGCTTCCCCTCCAACGGGCGATTCCGGGAAATTCTTTTCGAGCCCAGATAAGTTGATGGGACCGTCAGCAACGAGAGGAAGAGCACCCCGCAGGTCACAAGTCACAGGTGGCTTCCAAATGGCTCATTGCTTTTCTTTTGCTTCTTGCCCTTTTGGGAAAGGGAACCACCCAACATGACCGCTAGACCTGATCATCGATCTCGGGAAGATCGATCGATTTTTTCTATTGGCGGGGCCCGGTCTAACCCTGGTTCAGAGGGCCGACCGGACGACCGAACAAATGTCGATTCTGAGAGGCTTTTCATGGCTTGCTAACCCCCCCAGCATGGCCAACAGGGGAGTTTCGGCTTTCCTCTGCTATTCTTGGGCGCGGAAGTCTGGCTATCGTTCCGCTACGCTACGCTAGCTCTCCCGCCCACAATCCCGGATTCCGCAAGATGCCGCAGTTTTCGGTCCCCGCTGGACTTCAGCAAGCATATCTTCGAGCTAGCAAAAAGTAGCCATATTTACACTACAGTTGTGCCTACCCATCATCCTCATGCGCTTTCATGGAAACTTGCGGCCTTTTGTGTATTCGCAGGATGGTAGTAACTCTTCCTAGAATCTTCCTCATCAGGGAACGATGGGTTCGGGAGCCTCGGGAGCCCGCAGCGTTCACATCCTGGTTGCGGCGGTGAATAGCTGCCTATCCTGTTTTTTGACCGGCGGCCCCCGCTATGTGTGCTGTTGTCTTCGATGGTGTCCCTCGGTGCACGGCGGGAAGCGTGCTATCGAATCGTGGGGCGCTTTCAATCTCTCAGTCAAGCCTGGATGGTCGGTCCATGGCGTGCTGGCAAAGCTGTGCCTCACCCACTCGGCCGGTCCTCATCAGTGTGCCTTACCAGCCCTCTCTTGACATTGGCTCTGCTGGCTAGCAGGCCATGGCGTTTCGCATTGGACCCCTCACACGATAGCTCATCGCCAACCGAGAAAAGATGGCGCCCCAGTCTGCTCCTTGGCTTCTCCCGTTGGTTGAGCTTAGGACGGGACTAACGGAAAAAATACCGATACTACCCCGACTCGGGTCTGTGCCGTTCTTTGACTTATGTGTCGAAACAACACATCTGGCGTGTTCCATACGCTAGTACAACCGCCCCCCCCCAGATCTGGTGTCTGTTCCAAGCTCTCGGGCCGTAAGGTAGTATCATCTCCAGTTCTCCAGGAGACTGGATAACCAGGATGATCACCGCCTGGCCTGCCAGTTTGCCCCTCCTGGTGCATAGGTAATACACGCCCGGGAAGGGCCACCATTGCACGGCTGGAAAAGCCACGACAGTGTCGCTGAATCCCATCGCCCAATCTGGCTGTTTGCAGCTGTGGACTCGAGAAAGACACCGCGAAGGTGAAATATGACGAGAGGCCCAGGTTCCTGACCCCAGTTCCTCAGCCTTTCCCCTGAACAAGCTGTCCTATCCCATCTCACAGAAGGTTGTCAGCCATTATGGGCATCCCCCAGACTTGCCCTAGCTAGACTACCTGCCTGATGTGGATGCTTGGACTATGCCTTGATTATGGCATCAACTTTAACTTGTTCAGGAACCTCCTGCATTACTGACACCTGGTAGCGAATACCCCTTGTCTCAATAAGCTCTTGCTACTCTCTATGCCGCGAAAAATTTTTGCGCTGACTTGGTTTAGGGTCTCTTTCTGCTTCAACCTCAAACTCTTCTCAGCAACACGCTCATTCTCTTGTAAAACGAGTGTTTGTTGTCTATCTTCTTGTTTCTACTTCCTGCGTGACTTCTCGGTGGTTAGTTGGTCGTACATTGGCAACAGCATCGCCAGCAAGCGATGAAGACACATCGAAACCAACCGGCCCGAGAGCTGCAGCCGTTCACGGTAGAGCCTGGGAGCGAGACGGGGTTGTACTATATCACAGTTGCTAATGTGCGTTGCGGGATCTGTTCGCGCCCAAGGAAGGGTTGTCTGCTGACAAATGATGTACTAGCTTTCTCACAACACCACATGGAGAGACCTGAGAGCTTTTGCCGAACAAGTTTGCGAAGTGGACCATGCCGAGGTCTATCCACCAACGTCGGGTTTTGTTCGCGTTAGAGGGCTGGCCAATTTTGAAAAGGCACTTAGTATGTCATAACGGTCAATTTTATACACCTGCCGGTTCTAACGTTGAGCCATAGAACATCTGGATGGAAACACGCTTGACTTTCGCGCTCTCCAGGCGGATGGCAGAAACCGGGACCAGCCAACTGTTGTAAAGTTGCCACTGACTGATTACCACGCACAGAGACTTTTACGAGGAGAAAGGGGAGGTAGAATAGTTAGCTATCCTAGCTCTCCGCCCGCTGAGCCCAATGTTCAAGCTCAGCAACAACCGTCGCGGGCGGCTGGTCTTGCTATGAGTGCTAATCCGTACCCAGAACACCCAGCAAGTCCTATGTCGCCATACAACATGGCTCGGCCTGCAGAGACGCAATGGGGATACCCGGTATCTCCTACCTACCTGGCTGACCAGAGATACCAAGGAACTGTCGCGAGCAATACCACTATGCCCCATCCTATGCCATTTCAAGCATCGACCGACCCAACTCAAACATTCCCCCAGGTGGTGTCGAACCCGACGATGGCAGGTTTGCCACAACCTGCAGGATACCCGGGTCCTCCGCCCGCACCAGGCACAGCTCTAGGATTGAGTATCCCTTCATACCCTTACGGATCGGCAGTACCTTATTATCCACTGACCCCTGGATATATGGTCGGTAGTGGACAAGCATACGGATACGGGAACATGTCAGCTCCCTGGGGAGCTCCTGACTCAGCTACATCACCTGTGCTAACCCTCCAACCTGGCCAGCAGCTGATAGGTTACCCTCCAAGCGGTCCTATGGGAGAGGTAGTTACGATCGAGCAGCGCAAGATCGTCATTCTTCACCTCGAGCGTGATAGTTTGACGGAGGAAACTGTCCGTCAACTGCTTGCTGAGCATGCCGGGATCGGAAGTGCTACATCCACTGCATCTGCCGGCGAAGGCGAAGATATAGAAAAGATTGAGATCCCTATCAACAAGGATGGCCGCGCGAGGGGTACTTCTCTGGTTACTTTCCGGACTGCTGAGCTGGCGTTCAAGGCAATTGCCGCGCTGGATGGACGACAAATCGGCTCTGGCAGCAGCGGGGGCAGACGCCTTGCGGCACGGCTGGCTAGTGAGGGTGTTTCGACCGGCAAGGGCTTTGGAGATCGTCTGGGATATCGGGTTGGTGGTGGTAGGGGAGGTGGGAAGGCCGGTAGCAGTGCTGTTGGCACTGCGCTGGGGTCACATGCTGGGGGAGGGCTAACTGTTGCTGGGGGAACTGGTGAAACAGGCCGGCAAACCCGCTTATCAACAGCAAAATCTCCTGGTCGACGTCCGTCTGCAGCATCGCCATCCCCAGCTTCGTCATCGGATGTGGCTAGCCTAAGCGCGAGCGTGGCACAGCTTTCGCTGGGTGGACTGCCTCCAGCTGTTGTTGTCACTCAAGCATCCACCTTGGAATCTGCGTCAGCATCTGAATCTGCGTCTGCGTCGGTTTCAGTGTCTGGGTCTGTTGAGACTGCCGCAGAGATGAGTGGAGGAGCTGAGGGGGCTACGACTCGGGAAAAACCAGTTATTGTGGACGGAAGTGCTGGGGGTAGGTGGAATAAGGTAAAGAAAGAGGTTGTTCGTACGCCATGGTGATCAAATGGGAGGATTGAAACATTAGAGGTATTGAGAGTCTGAAGAAATGCATTGTGTGGCGTTGTTTTGGAGTGTTGTGGTATCAAAGTTGATGTTTGTGCTGTTTACATTCAGGGGTTGGAGGGTCAGGGGTACGAACATATAGAAGCATACGATCCCGGGGATGGAGAGACTTCATAGGGCTCGGGGTGGTCTAGATAAAATCTGGCTGCTGTTTCGGGGTAGAGGGGCGTTCTTAGAGGGGAGCTGATCTCATCGCATATATGTCCGATGTATGCAATATAGTGTTTCTTGTTTCAGTGGGTTGGGTTGGGGCTTGAGAGTTGCCAAATTCTTCGAAGGAGGCCATGAGGATAAGGTACCTATCAAGATCCAGGATGTGTTGAGGGAAAGTAATGGCAGAGAATAATAGCGTTAGTATACATAGGGTATAATAGGGAGGAGAAGGCGTTTCTTTGGTGTGGCAGTCGGGTATGAACTCAGATTTGTTTGTGCAGGTGGTATCACAGTGGAAAATCTTTGAACTTACAATGGTGACTTGCATCGACGCTCTATTGTGATAGTATTCGATTGAAAACCACTGGGATTCAAAGTCTTAGTGGACCAAAATATCAATGGGAATACAGTCCAAGGAACGGTAGAAGATAAAAGCCATAAGCAGATAGGGAGCAGCACTCCCACCCCATACAAAATTCATTTGGTCCCGAGGTCCGAACAATCAACGAAGGGCGTGTAGCTCATTTGGTAGAGCGCTCGCTTAGCATCTCCTAGGGATTATCTCTTGGATCCTCTAATGCGAGAGGTACTGGGTTCGATTCCCAGCTCGTCCAAAGGTCTTGTGCAATAAGAAGGTGGTTTCATTTTTCATGTTTTCAGAGTGCGAAAAATTTTATTTGGACGGGGCAGTGGGGTGCTTGGATTGGACTTAGTGTTTGTGTGGGTCTTGTTTCACAAAGTTAGGGTTGGGGCTGGGGGCGTACATGTAATAGCGAATATACCTTCACGATAAATGTCATCAGGGGGAGGGGAGATGATCTTTGGGCCAGAGTAGCCACTAGAAAGGAATGAATCTAGTATATAGATCAGCGAGAGGAAAGGGATAGAAATGTTCATATCACTTTCCTCCTCTCTAACACATTTCCGTCCCTAATCCCAACCCCTTCCCTTTCTGTCCTAGCCACAAGCCTGCTACACTGGCACCTGAAACTCCTCAGTTCTGCCCCTCAATATGTTTAGTCTGCTTCCTCGCCAAATCCTTCTCAACCTTCACCCTTTCCATCTCCCTGCTCATTAGCCTTCTCTCGGCAGTCCATCTTTCTTTGCAGCCAGTTTTCCCGTTTCCTCACGCGCAGTGTATAAGGCAAGGGTGTGCTCGGTACGTTCGGCATGTTCTTTTGTTGGCGCTTTTATTCTGCTTGGGCGTGTTTTAGGCGGGCACGCTCGGGTTCGATATGGGCTTTATGAAGGCGGTGTTCGAGTTAGAAGAGATCTTTTGAATGTGAGGAGCCCGGGGAGGGGGGGCAAAGCTGTGTGGCTGAAGTTAGGGGAAACGGCGTTGGTTCTTGAGACGGAAATACTGATGGATCTTGGAGAGATGGGTGAGCGGGTTGAGAGAGGTGAAGAGGGGCGTTTTGTTGTTTGAGAAACTGGAATTGATTCTTGTTTGGTCAAGTGTCTCTGACTGCGCTTCGGAGAGGGTTCTTTCTTGATAGAGGCTATATCTGTCCCAGAGGAATCGCTCTCTGAGTCGCTGACATCTATGTCCAGGAGTGTGAAAGCCATTGGGACGAAGGCAACGATCGTCTTAGCTACAGTTCCTAGAGCGTTAGTAAGCATGTTGTAGAATCCTCCTCTCGCTGCATTTGCCAGTCCAGGTTCCTTCTGAAAGGCATACTCTTGCTTGCGCGTCGCCACTGATAACGCCCTTAGCTCTTTATAAAGACCAGAGGGGGACACTCCCGTCGCTTTATTGCTATCTCTTCGACATTTAAGGGCAATGTTCAGTCACCCAGGCTCTTAGATGCCATCCAGCAAAGGAGATCGCGATAAGCACTCCGCCTTGCGAATCAGGCACTCCCACTCCCACTCCCTCTGCTCCCTCTGCTCCATGTCCATGACGACAATAACGATGCTGATGATGGTAAAGAGAGTTTATGCATAGTTAATCCCTCCTCCAAAGTCCTCAGATGCATCTCAACCTCCCTTTCATCGCTCCGGCTCGACCCTTCCTCTGCCAATGATGCGGAAGGTATAGAAGGCAGCTTGATCTCTTTCCATCCCTGGTTAGGACTTTCAACATTGCCTCATTCTCTGCGGCTTTCTCTTTTACTGGTCGAGACTGACTGGGGACTGGGCGGTATGGTTCCCACGTGACGGGGCCTACCAACCTTGGTGTCAGGGTTGGGGAGTGAGGAAGTGGTCAACGTTTTTGAAGAAACCGTTCTGGTTTTGTAACCCCCAGACTTCTCCTTACTTGCCTATATCGTTGTTGCTACGGAAGAGAAGGGGATGAAGTCAATCAGGAGTCAGGCATCTTAGAACGTTGACTGGAAGAGTGCGGCGAGGTAGGAACTGGTATTTGTCTGGTGAGAGGGAGCCAGGACAAAGGTCGGTCTACCAGATTAGGAGGAGGGGTTTGAGGGGTTCTAGTCGGGACATTACGATTCTGAGATACACCAGTAGTGCCCCTGTCCAAGGAACGCTCTCGGATCATATTTATGATTGTTTAACTAGAAGGGTAGTCTGAGATGCAACTCGAAAATGGAACCCCTCAAGAGACAAAGCTATGTTGTCAACAAACTGCTGAGCAAGGCCACACAATGGCAAGCAATAACTACCTGACCTACTTTCGATTTTGCGGCCCAGGGACACCAACTTGGGGACAACTCGCGACCCACCAACCTTATCTGACCGTTGACGTCATCGTCAGGAAATCTATCATGCTTAGATCACGACTCAGCACACCATCGCTGCGTTCTGCACCTGTTCTTACTATCAAGAGCATTATCAATTCCATCGCCTCATGCTCAGCCAGGTAGTCAACGCAAACTACCAAGAGTCAATATTGGTATAATACAGCCTACAACCTATCCCCCTACAATGGTATACTTGTACAAGGATCCAACCTAACACAGTTTAACTCCCTCCAATTTGGGGGTCTCATCGCCTCATCTCTCCATTTTGTCGTGGGGTAACTAACCCATGTTTGCACCAAACCAATGCCAATCCATGCGTAAAAAAACACGTTCCAAGTTATCCTGTCGCCTTCCAAGACCGAGGCGCCAGTCCGTTCCTTTGCAAACCAAACACCAGAAAATTCCAAGCAACTTTTTTTTATCGCATCATGTCGTATCCCATAAAAAGCGGTTTACTGCATGGTCTTCAAGAAACCATCCAGATCGAAGCTTTCCTCGTACTGTGCATTATCCCACAACTCGCCCAGGCCCTCTAGCCAGGCAGCCTTCTTACCCGGCCGCCTGACATCGCCCGTCTCGATATCAACCATATCCTCTTCGCGGCCCTCGATGCTCTCCTTATTATCCGTGATCAAGCTCGGGCCGGATTCACCCAGGTTGAACAGATCCAGGATCTGGTCCGTGTCCATGGTAGCCAAACCCGCATTCTGCTGGTTGACGACGGTGCTAGCGACGTCAATCTTGAAGCGCTGCAGGCTAAGGATTTTCTCCTCGAGCGTACCGCGCGTGATGATGCGGTACACGTTGACTACCTTCTTTTGTCCGATACGGTGAGCGCGGTCCATGGCCTGCAGATCCTTCTGCGGGTTCCAGTCGTGCTCGACAAAGATGACTGTGTCGGCACCTGTCAGGTTTAAGCCGAGACCACCGACGCTGGTCGTCAGCAGGAGGACGTCGTATGAAGGATCGCTGTTGAACTTATTGACAATGTCTTGGCGCTTATTGGCCTCCACGGAGCCATCCAGCCGCAGGTACGATACCGACGGCAACATCTGCTTGAGCACCGTGTTCTGTACCATATCGAGCATTTCCTTCATCTGACAGAAGATCAGCGCCCGGTGAGGCTTGATGGGCGTGTACAGAGGGTCGGAAGACTCCTGGCCTTCCACGCCGATACCGCAATCGACAAGAAGATCGCGCAAGGCGCCAAGCTTGGGGGCATGAATCGGGTCTTCCAGCGTCGTTCCGTGCTTAGCCAGATACTTCTGCGTGTCCTCGTACGCCTTGTGACCTGGCTTCATGACAAGCGCCGGCGAGTTGCAGAGCTTGCGCATGTACTGCAGAGCCTGGAAGATGTGCTGTTTGGCCTCCTTGTCGTCTCTACCGGCAGTTTCCGTGATCTTCTTGCCTTCCCTCTTGGTGAAGTCCTCGAACAACTTGCGCTGCAGGTCGCTGAGATCGCAGTAATAGTTCTGGAGAATCTTTGGCGGCAAGTCGTTGAGCACTTCTTCCTTGAGACGACGCAGCAAGAACGGCAGCACCTGCTTGTGCAGAGCCTCAATAGCCAGCGCACCCGCTTCTTGTTCCTTCGAGGATGCCTTGCTATAGCGGCTATTGGCGATCGGCTTGGCAAACCGGTCAAGGAACACCTTTTCGGCGCCCAAGAAGCCGGGCATCAAGAAATCGAATAGGGACCAGAGTTCAAGCACGTTGTTCTGGATTGGCGTGCCTGTGAGAATCAAACGATGGTTGCTAGTGAGCCTCTTGACTGCGAGGGTAATTTTGGCCTTTGGATTCTTGATCAGATGGCCTTCGTCCAGCACACAGTAATTCCAATTGTACTTCTCGATTACATCAATATCGTTGCGGCAGACATCGTACGAAGTGATGACGATGTCGGTCTTGTCCAGGGAGTCCTTCATGGCACGCCGCTCGGCCGGAGAGCCTACGTACGCTGTCACGGTAAGGAAAGGAGCATATGTCTTAATCTCCTGTTGCCAGTGACCGGATAATGTCGGCGGGCAGATGATAAGGGACGGCAGCTTTCTAACCTCGGGAGCGCCAGTCCTGGCAAACTCTTCGGCACGCTGATGATGATCACTTGCCACGATGCAGATCGTCTGGAGGGTCTTGCCGAGACCCATGTCGTCGCAGAGGATACCATGCAGGTGGTACTTGTTGAGGAAAGCAAGCCAGTTGACACCTTCCTGCTGGTATGAGCGGAGCTCAGCCTTGATGGCAACGGGGATCTTGAACGGCTCAATCTTCTTCGGATCCAGGAGCTGAGCGATGAATGTGCGCTCGCGGTCACGGCCCTTCAACAACTCCTCAGAAAGACCCGGAGGATCCGGAATACCAGCCTCAAGCGGGACTAGCTTCACGAGAGTAGCAAATGATGTCGTGGCTATCAGGCGAATCTGGTTGTCGGAATCACTCATGCGACCCAGCACGGGCACGATGAGGAAGATGACATAAGGAAGGATAGCATCGCCCATTACAGCGATGAGATGGTAAATGACCTCGATGGCACCCTGACGGAAGCTGAGATCAAGTGGGTTGTTGATCGACGGCAACACCTTCTCGACCAAAGCAGTCATACCATCCACAGTAATGACGCTGCAGATCGTCGCCATGCATTTAGCAGCCATATACCGGAATACAGACAGATCGGAGCGAAGGGCCTTGATGACCAAAGGAACCTGCTGCATGACAAACGGATGGAGGGCTGGGTGCAGTGTCGGCGTCATCGTGCGTATCACGGACATGGCATCGACGATCTCCTGACCAAACGCGTTCTCCGGGTCGCGGGCTTCGGGCGGCAGATCGCCAGAAAAGGCCCTAACCAAAGGCTCTTCCATAAAAGTCCGCAAAGTCGGAACGCGCTCGAGGAGCTCGGCGCCGAAGTTCTTGGACAAGATCTCAAGTGCTTCCTTGGCACCACGGCGGGTGATGCGGGCGGCCTTTGCCTCGCGCGCGTACTTGACTGCATCAGGATGGTCGACCCTATCCTCTTCCTTCTGCATCGACAAAATAACATTGGTTTTGTGGGCATGGATGGGGAACTCGGGTGTCTCGGCCACCTCAACACAAGAAAACTTGACCAAGTTCGCCACAACTTTCTCGGCGGGACCACGGCGGCCAGATTCCGTGAAGAGCTGCACCAAACGTGCGATCGTAGCGGCCGATCGGCTCTGCAACTCCTGGTTTTCCTCGGTCTTGATGCTGTCCATAATGGCCTTAATAAGAGGACTAGGCTTCTTCGGAAGCACCTTCATGGCGACCAAGGCACAGGCTGCGGCAGCCTTGATGCGGGCATCGCGAGCTTCCTTGGCCGCCTTAGCCTCCTCAATGACCTCAACTGTCTGCTCCCGGGCTTCATTCAGCTGGGGCAGGGCAATCAACCGCTGGCCCGGCGCCATGAGTCTCTTAAGCCGCTCAAAGTCTTCGTTAACTACCTTCTCAGCATTTGCAATCGAGAAGGCGCCAGGACCGGCCTCGGGCTCGCCTTGAACGACGACAGCCAGCGTAGGCAACTTGCCTTGCGACACCTTGCCGTGGTCGCGGAAGAGGTTGATGAGCTGCTGTGACGCTGAGCGCACCCGCTGAACGTAGGTGACCAAGTCGCGGTAGTGCGACGGCCGTTCCAGGTCGATAATCTTCTGCAACGGCTCAATGAAGCGAGAAGCAACCTCAGGGGTGCTGCAGTTCTTCGCATACTCGTCGATGACCATGGCAGCGGCCAGCTGGGTAGACGCATATGGCGAAGAAAGCGCCTGAAGAACAGCAGTATCGTACGATGCCAGACGTGGCGTAGGAATAAAGGACATGATGAGACCCATTGCTTTGGCAGCCGAGATACGGGAACGAATCAAGACATCAACACCGACCAGGTCGACTTCGCCCTGGATCATGTGGCCGTCGACATCGTGGGTATGCGTGGACGGAGCGACGTCCTCAGCCTTGGTCGACTTACGTCGCCTCTTCGTCGCCCTTTCGCCCTCAGGTGGCGACGACCGTCGGCTGTTGGTTTGGGAAGCTCCAGGAAGCGAGTAGGTTCCGCCCGATGGCTTCTGGAAGAGAGCAGGGTTCATGGGAATGGGATGGCGGGGAACACCAATGGGATGGAGGGCCAACTGCATCATGGGCTCTGCATGAGCCTCAAACTCGTCGGCCAAGATGGCAGGGTCCCTGGCAGCAAGTCTGCGGACGAGGGTCGTCCACAGCTCGAGGGACATGTTGAGGGTATCCTGGTCCCGTTCGACAATGATATTCTGGAAAATGAGACGAAGGATCCTCCCATTGAGCCATCCCTGGGATGTCTCGCCTCCGAGATTGGCAAAAGTCATAAGGGCCTTAAGGACAGCAAGCCGTACCGAAGTGATGGTATGGCGCAGGAAGGGGTACAGCCGGGGAACGAGGAGAGTGAAGGACCTCTCCTCATCTTGCGATGCGGAGACTTTCATAGCTTCCAAGACTTCAGGGAAGCTGCAGAGCGTGGCGAGCAAGTCCATAATCTTGCCCGTGGACGCGCTGAGGTCATCACCAAGATTGGAGAGACTCTCCCAGACGATGTTGATCAAGCTGTCGAGGGCTGAACGCCGCATCATGACGAACTCCTTGGCCATCGGGATCAGCGTCGCCGCGCTGACAGAGCGGACATCGTCGTCGATGTCGCCAAGGCCCTGCATGACGCAGCGGACAACGCCGTCGATCATGTCTCCGTCTTGGAGCAAGAGGTCTTTGCGCACAGCAACGACGTACCTCAAGCCAACCATGCCACCGTGGCAAACAGCCCACATGTTTTGCTCCGACGGAAGATCTTCCTGGGTCACCATACAGTACAGCAGGCGGTAAATGGCGTGAACGGACTCTACGGAGATGTGGCGGAGGACTGCACCAAGGGTTTGACCAACGGTCTCCCTGATGGGAGCAACAGACGTGTCGGAGCTGTAGTCGGTGAACTTGTCGAGCATCAGCACGCAGAGAAGACGGTAGGCCAAATCGTCGAGCCATTGGCGGTTGAGGTCGTTGTTCTCCTTGCGTGTCTTGCCCCTGCGCCGGCCAGCACCAGCGCCGTGGACCCGGATGACTTCTCTCAGACCCATGGCTGCACCGTGGCGGGTCTCCCACTGGGGATCAAACAGATCGACCTTGAGGAACTCGCAAAGCCGCTCGAATGGCCACTCAGCGCCCTCAAGGCTGTCATCAGCCTCGATTTCCGACTTGATCGGGAGCACCGGGCCCTTGAATTCTGAGACTATCTTGGTGTCTTCTTCTGTGTTTTCGGGCCTGTCAAGACTAAAGTATTCGGCTAGCTTGTTCTTCTTGGAGTCGGCGTCGGGCATAGGGGTATCTTCGCCAAATGCATCGGAGCCTGCTGTCGTTGAGCGGCGAAGTGAAAGATCACCAAACCCGCTCTTTCCTTGGGCAGCCTTCTGGGCTTCCCTCTTCCTCTTGCGCTTGAGCACGTTGAGTTGACGGGCGCTCATCTTGCTCTCATCGATAGCCTGGCTCTGGTTGTCATTGCTTGCGCCGTCCTGCCGGCCTACTCCGTTCGCGCCAGCGGCATCGTTCGGCGTGATCGGACTAGCAATCTGTTCAACCGGCATCTCCTCGTCTTCAAAGACACGTCCAAGCAACCCCAGCCGGCCATTCAGCGTTTTCTTCAAATGGGCCAGCCGCTTCTGGGGATCCAGGGCTGCAAGATTGTAATCGACAGGGCCGCCGCGGAGAAGGGGTCGTCCGTACTTGACAATCGTGGCGACATCCAGAGATTCGAGACGAAAGAAATTATCCTGCTCGAGGACATCCTTCTCCTCTTCTTTCTTCACTTCGAAAGAGCCGTTTGTAGGTTCCGGAGCAGCCTCGTCCTGGCCAGCATTGGGGTCGTAAAGCGGCGCATTTTCAATGATCTTGCCTATCGCCTTGGCAGCAGTTGTTCTGGTTTCCCAGTCCTTGTGGCGAAGGTAGGGAACGACTCTCGAAAGGAGATTGAATAACTCTTCGGGATGCTGTTTTTGCCAGTCGGCAAGCTGATTGACGGCTGTGTCCCGTATTAATCGGGTACTCCCCGTTTCGAGTATCCTAGGAAAACATGGTTAGTACCGAGCGAACAATCGAATTACTACCGGGAGCAGCTGAAATGATAGGCCACAAGGCTGATGATGCTGCTAGGCGTTGACCTCAGAAGCGGCAATGGGACACTCACGTAACGAGTCGATCAAGCCTGGACAGCGAGACGTTGGTTAGTCTGGCCTCGAGCGTTTTAGCATTATTCAGGCCACCCTGGACCTTGTCAGGACGCGCCAAGAAGTAACTCACCGAGTCGCCATTCTTGTTTCATATCAACAATTATCGGGAAGTTTAGTAAGAGATGGAGACCATGGCACTGCATCGTGGTCAGCTACCTCTGAACGACCTCGGATCACTTTTGATCTCATTATCAGATGTGAGAAAAGCCATGAGGAGCTTCCGAAGGAGACAAAGAGACTTGACGCTAGCAACCCGGCACCAAGGAAAGCTCGGGAGCCAGAGCTAATCTGATTGGTTGATCGGGCGGGCCAAGATCGATGCTTTGCAGATGCGAAAAGGAACCGACTTGGCAACGGATCCACCATCTCAGATCTGCCGGCTGAGTTGCACCAGCATCTAAGGGTCCCACGATTCAGGTCTGCACCAAATAAAGCAGACCAACAGACATGGTGGCTGACAAAACGCCAACAACAGACAGATCGATCATCTTGGGAGGGTAAAATGTCGAGATATAAAAAAAATTCCGAAAAGGCGAAAGCAAGATAACAGCGCTGTGAACAGCTGCTAAGCGGGGATGAAAGTGGGAATGCAACGCACCTGTACCCGGCCGCAGTCGTTTCGGAAGAGCTTATTTAAGTCGTCAGAGTTTAGGTTGACAGGTTGTTTGATATGTTAAAAACGCTGCCTGCATGCTGCAGAAAGTATCAGTCAAGGTGTTTGTTACTTAAAGCAACTAAGAAAAAATTGATTGAGGAAACATTAAGAATCGACTTAGATGCTCTTCCATTCAAGCGACCAACGAGTTTTTTTTTCTGGACGAAAGGGACGAAATCGAAGCATGCTGGTGATGCAGCTAACTGTAATACATACCGTATAAGGGAAAGGTATGGTAAACGTTGACCGGTCGGTGGGCCACTGGCACGAAATGCAAGGTGTGGCGCGCAGACCTGGCAAAAAGAGGCCGGGACCAAATCCACTTGCCACGGCGCGTCGGAGTGCAGCAAGAGAATGTGGCCTCCGTCGGCTGTGGCAGCAGATGTGGCAGCGAGTCCAAGTCCGGTCAGTGTGACAGACTGGCCGGGTGTGGGCGGGGTGGGTGAAATCGAAATGGGTAAAGGCGGAGAGAGGGTGCAAGTCAGTTGCAGGCAGTCCAGGTCGCCAGGTGCAGGCAGTGGGAGGTTCGGGAGCGGAGGGCAGTCGCCTGTCTATAAAGAATATTGGTTTAAATTTATAGACAACGGGCGCTCCCAACGCTCCTTCCCGGGGCCTTGCGCATTTTAGCGCCATTCTTACACCCCTGCCCCTGTCCCATGCGCCTCCCTAGCCAGTGTCCCGTGCACGCGTGCCGAGCCAAGATCACGGCGGGCGACGAGAAAACAGCAAATGAATGAAAGTTTACTGGCAGGAAAGGCCAATGGGCTGCATCTCAACCACGACTGCCACTACAAGGACTCCGGAGTTGGCGTCCAACCTCATCATTGGACATAGACGTACATTCATCCATCTGTGCAGACGAAGCTCTTTCTGGCAGTGCCGTGCTACAACACCAACAACAGTTGTTCTTTTTACCCATATTCTCTTTCTAACGCGCGAGCCAACATCCCATCTAGTACTCTATCCATTACCCACCCCTCTGACATCAAACAGCTGTCTGCGGGGTCAGAACTACCATTGCGGGACGCGTCTCCCACTTTCTCCGTTGTCCACTACTGGGTATGTACAAAAAGTACACGACGTGACGACAGCCTCTACGGATGTATGGATCACTGAGCGTATTGAAACGTGTCCCATATCATCCGTACGGGTAGCTTGGCCAGCCGAGCCTCACATTTCAGGCGTCATACGTCCAGCCATTGGAAATAGGCTCAGCACCGATGCGGGCTGCCGGCTGAGCTGCACCGACGCAAGTGATTGTGATTTGAGGCCGGCTGCATGCGATGATGAGCAATACCGTAGTGGTTGGAACTGAGAAGCTAGATGCCCTTCCCGGTGTACCGGTATGGTCTCTGCGGACAACAGACCTGCGCTCCTACACTACAGCGATGCACTGCAGCAGTACAGCCCGCCCGCGTTTTGCAATCCTGCATCCCAAAACCAAAGCCTATCGGAGATGTCAGACGGAGGGCGGGTGATTCATTCGCCTCCGTCCTCCCTTGCTGTACCCTCTGTAAGCCGAAAGCAGTGCGCCTGATGTATTCCTGCCCGATAGCATATATCGACAAGACCTGGGCGTACCAGACTTGATCTTGATGTAACCATAGAGCCAAGTTTTCCAGCCTTGTCATGTCCTCGATGGTTGCCGCAAGATGGACATGATAAAAAAAAAAAGAAAAGGAAGCTATCTGGACAAAAGCAAATAACTGCCCTACGCATCCGGTCTGGAAGCAGCCCTGTTGAAACAAAGACGCGGTCTTACTGGCCTGGGGACCGGTTGTCCGCGAGGTGGAGGACAGCAGGACAGCAAAACGTTTGTCGCATGCCGGAATTCCAGCTTTTCATCCACACCCACATGATCGCAATCCTCCTATTCTGTCTGTGCCGCAGACTGTGACTCTGAGAGTGTCGCCAACAGATCCGCAGTGTGTGAATCGAGATTCCAACTGTTCTGTGAGCCGTGAGTCTACCAGGTAGAAAGGGTCAGTGCTGTCATGGCCAAACGGGTGGTTGCATGGCCAATTCTACTTTGATCAAGGAGCACGTTGACACGGGTTGGGCAGGAGATGCGGTGCTCCCCAGTCTCCACCACCATTTCACACACGCATACACACACAGCCGGATGACATGGATGCAAAGTCGATGGCAGCAGCGCCGCAGGGACTAGAGTTTTATGGAGTGGGATTTAATCACGTGACATTTTGGCCAGCCGCGCCGGCGCGGGGGCCCTGTAGAGTCCCACTGATGGCGCGACATGGAACGCGTTCGGGTCCAGCACTAGTCGCACACCGCGATTTTGTCCCCTCCGCAGCGACCCTGCATCGCGGCCTTCTTGTCATTGAGGACGGAAATCATGGTTGAGAGCGATTATCGAGAATTTCAGACCCACAAAAACTATTTTCAGTACATCTGAGTGCAGAATTCCAGTGTGAGACCGACCGTCCCTTCGGTCATTATTTTTCCTTCCCCCTGCTTTCCCACTTTTATTGTTTTTTCTCCCCCTTCTAGATTTGGCTGTCCAGCGGACGGCGCAACTAAAACTTCCACCATGCATATCAAGCAGATCATCATTCAGGGCTTTAAAAGGTGCGCGAAACTCACTGCCCACGACGTGTCCCTCCAACTGTCTTGTTGATGGTGGGGCGCTACCTCATGCTTATGGACCTCTAACTGACCCTTTACTCTTAGCTACAAGGATCAAACCGTCATTGAGCCCTTCTCCCCAGGGACTAATGTCATTGTTGGGCGCAATGGATCCGGAAAGAGCAACTTCTTCGCCGCTATCCGCTTCGTCCTTAGCGATGCCTACGTCAACCTGAGTCGCGAGGAGCGCCAAGCCCTCCTCCACGAGGGTTCGGGCTCGGCCGTCATGTCCGCCTATGTTGAGATCATCTTCGACAACAAAGATCGGCGCTTCAGCGAACCGGGAGACGAGGTCGTCATTCGCCGCACAATTGGCCCTCACAAGGACGAGTACTCGGTTGATAGAAAGGTCCAGAGCCGGGCCGATGTGATGAAGATCCTCGAGACCGCCGGCTTTGCCAAGGAGAACCCGTTTTACATTGTCCCTCAGGGTCGCATTGCCTCCATTACCAACATGAAGGAATCCGAGAGGCTCAACCTCCTCAAAGAGATTGCGGGCACCAACCTTTACGAAGATCGCCGACTCCAGTCCCTTAAGATCATGGAAGAAACCAATAGCAAGCGTGAGAAGATCGACGAGACGCTGGCGTACATCAATGAGCGCTTGAAGGAACTAGAGGAAGAGAAGAATGAACTTCGCGACTTCCAAGAGAAGGATAGAGAGCGCAGGTGTCTGGAGTATGCTCACTGGCACCGTCTCCAGCAGAGCAACCAGGAAGCCCTGGAGCAGCTGGAAGAGCAGAGACAGGGTGGCGCTGGCGCTACGGCGAAGGATCGCGCACAACTCCAGAAAGTGGAAAAGGAGCTTGCCACATTGAGCCAAAAGACCCATGAACTAAGGCAGAATCTGGATCTTTTGGCCGTCGAGCGTCGTCAGTTGGACGAGGACCGGAAAGACGCGGCCCGTGCCCGTGCGAAGGCTGAGCTAAAGGTCAAGAATTTGGATGAAACCCGGCACGCACGCGAGCTGGCTCAGAAGAAACAGGAGGAAGACCTGAAGGACGTTAGGCGGAGGATACAAGAGGCCGAGGCTGAGATTGCCAAGATCCTGCCTGAGTATGAGAAGTGGCAAAAGGAAGAGAACGACATCAGGCTACAACGCGACGCTGCGCTGGCTGGGAAAAAGAACTTGCTGACAAAGCAGACCCGGGCCTCACAGTTCAAGACTAAAGCCGAGCGCGATGCCTACCTCAGGCGGGAGATCGACGAAGCTACGGCATCACTCGGCCTACAAAAGGCCAACGCCATGGACGCAAAGGAACAAGTCAAGTCTGTGGAGACGTCGATCGCCCAGCTAGAGAAATCTATCGAAGATATCCGAAAGAAGATTGAGAACTACGGTGCCAACCGTGTCACGCTCGCCGAGCAGCTTGTCAAGGCCCAGGAGGCCCGCGAACAACTGCAGGAGGAGCGCAAGCGGTTGAGGAGAGAGGAGGACAAACTCAGCTCTGTGTTGTCCAACACGCGTGCCGAGAGGGAACAAGCTGAGTCCATCCTTGCACATGCCATGGACCAAGCGACAGCCAAGGGTCTGGCCTCCATCCGGAGATTGAAGCAGGAGCGCGATATTCCAGGAGCCTACGGCACGTTGGCTGAGCTGATGAGGGTGCCGGTAGATGCATATAAACTTCCTGTTGAACAGGTTGCGGGATCTAGTCTCTTCCACTACGTGGTCGACAACCAGCAGACGGCTTCACTTCTCGCAGACCATCTGTATAAGACGTACGGTGGTCGCCTCACCTTCATGCCTCTGGAGGAACTACGGCCGAAACAAGTCAAAATGCCCCGAGCTCATGATGCTCAACCGCTCATTAGCAAGATCGAGTATGATCCGAAGTTCGAGAAGGCCTTCCAGCAAGTCTTCGGCCGGACTATCGTCTGCCCGAACCTGGCCGTTGCTTCGCAATATGCTCGGACCCACGGCCTCGATGCCATTACGCCTGAGGGTGATACTACGAACAAGAGGGGGGCGATGACTGGTGGTTATGTCGACATGCGGAGGTCACGACTCGACGCAGTGCAAAGGGTCAGCGAGCTGCGCGATCTCTTCGAGAAGCAAATGCAGGACCTTGAGAAAATCAGAAAAGAGATAGAGGCCATTGACCAGAAGGTCACGCAAGCCACAAGCGAGGAGCACAAGCTCGAGCAGCAAAGGCAGCAGTTCGAGCAGAGTTTTGAGCCGCTCAAAATGGAGCTGCGCGCTAAGCAGGCACAGCTTGAGCGTGAGCGGCATCATTTGGAGACGGCTAAAGCACGGCAGGCCCAGGTAGAACAGAACCTTAAGGAGTTGGACCGCACCATCGCAGGTTACCAGGCCGAGCTCGCTCAGGACTTTAAGAAGGCTTTGACGGCTGCCGAGGAGCGTCAGTTGGAAGAATTTGATGCCGATGTGCATCGCTTATCACAGACGCTCAAGGAGGTAAGCAGTAAGAGGCTGGAATTCGAGGGCCGCAAGCGGATGCTTGAGGACCAGCTACGGGGCAACCTCCGGCCGCAAGAAGATCAGCTTCGTGGGCTGGCGTTTGAGAACGCATCGATCGGCGGCAGTGACAGCTATCAGGATGCGCAGAGAGAGCTCAAGAAGGTCCAGAGGGCTATGGCCGAGGTGGAGCAGCGGCTGCAGGAAGTTGACAAGATGGCCGAGCAGCTCAATAGGGACCTGGCGCAACTTGAGGCTCAGAAGGCCAACCTGGAGCAGGACCAGCAGGTGCTGCAGCAGCGCATTGAGCACTACCAGAAGAGGATGGAGAAGAGCATCCAGAGAAGGGCACAGCTCATTGCCCAGGGCGCTGAGTATGCGAAGAATATTCGCGACTTGGGTATCCTGCCTGAGGAGGCATTCGACAAGTATGAGAGAATGAAACCTGAGCAGGTGAGTTACCCATATCTTGTGTCTATCGTATCCAATTCTTCTAACTCTTATCACAACAGATTGAGGCAAGACTGCGCAAGGTCAATGAGGCGCTCAAGAAGTATAAGCACGTCAACAAGAAGGCGTTCGACCAATACAACAGCTTCACGGCACAACGTGAGCAGCTCTTGAAGCGGCGTGAGGAGCTCGACACGTCGCGCAAGTCCATCATGGAGCTGATTGAGCACCTCGACCGCGAGAAGGACGAGGCTATTGAGCGGACATTCAAGCAGGTGTCCAAGGAGTTTGCGACTATCTTTGAGAAGCTGGTGCCAGCCGGTCACGGCCGTCTGGTCATCCAACGGCGAGCCGACAAGAAGAAGAGGCGTGACAAGAATGCTGTTGGCGATGAGGAGTCGGACAGGGAGGAGGGGCCGACCTCGGGAGTGGACAGCTACACGGGCGTCGGCATCAGCGTGTCGTTTAACTCGAAGGTCGCGGACGAGCAACAGAAGATTCAGCAGCTCAGCGGTGGCCAGAAGAGTGAGTCCTTCGAATTTTATGGAGAATCTAGAAACAAAGTACTGACAAACACCACCAGGCTTGTGCGCGCTCTGCCTGATCTTCGCTCTTCAGGCGGCCGAGTCCAGCCCGTTTGTCATTTTCGACGAGGTCGACGCCAACCTGGACGCGCAGTACCGCACGGCAGTGGCCCAGCTGCTGCAGGAGATCTCGGCCGAGCAGGGCACACAGTTCATCTGCACGACGTTCCGGCCCGAGATTGTGCAGGTGGCCGACAAGTGCTATGGCGTCACATTCCACAACAAGACCAGCACCATCGACTGTGTGCCGACTGAGGATGCGCTGAACTTTGTCGAAGGCGGGGAGAAGAAATGAGTGTTCATTTGGGGGTAGACAAGGCTTGCTCGTTGTGTTATGTGCTATGGGTGGCTTTATATGTACTGCTGTTTTTGCTATCGCTATCTAAGTATTATTGCTCTGCTCTGCACTGATGGCAAGAGTCAGGAAAAGGTAGTGACGGCATATCCTGGGGAGTTGGACATGGCGGTCTGATAGGTACTTTAGTAGCTAGCTTCTGTTTCTTGCACCTTTGTAGAAGCAGTGAGGCGGTTGGGAATGGTAATTCGATGATTTTGACTTCAACGTTTGCGTTTTGTAAGTTTATGGAGTTTTGTCTAAGATCGTAGCAGCTGGGGGTGGTGTTACCATAAGGTGAAAGCTCAGGGGTTGCGAAGCACAGCACACAGTACGATTTGTGTACTTGCAGGGGGGGTGGTGTTGGGCACCTTAAGATACTCCCATTTTGTTCCAGGATGTCTTGAGATTGCACGACAGCCTTCCTTCTACTTCAGTGCTTCAGTACACCTTTATGCGTGATGTTATATTCACATGGTATCTCATATATTCTGAATAGGTCCTCCGAACGCTAGGGTAGGTAGTTAACCATGTCGCGGGTTGTCCGTGGATTCCATACTGTTCTTCCCCGCTCTGGTGGGGGATTCTAGAAGCTACCCCGCGGTCCCCACCATTGCTGTGGTCTGCCTGCCACCAGACAAAATGACGGGCTGACAGCCAGCCAGCCAGCCTCCACAGACCTCAAGTGGTCCTACGAGTACCTACAAGGACTTTCAAGGCAAATTAATTGCTGCCCTCCTTAACAGCATTCACCGTTTGGCTCGATACTACTTGAGCCTCTCGAGTCTGCACTACCTCAACTAGGCTGGACTCGATTCAACTCGACAGCATCGTCTGGCCTGTTATATCCGTATCATCGAACAACCTTGGCGAGACCCAAGTCCCAGGATACCATAACCCCCTTCAGGCTTCGTGTGATAATACAATCAGGCATATCAGGCATACAGCTGCGTTCGCGCGGCATCCACAGCCGTCACAATGCCGGTTGATTACAGCAAGTGGGTATGACGCCCAGTCTGGGGATGAACGGAGCTTTGGGGAAAGAGACACAAGACACGGGCTGACTTGACCAGGACGCTCTCGAGCTGAGCGACGACTCAGACATCGAGGTGCATCCCAACGTCGACAAGCGCTCCTTCATCCGGGCCAAGCAAGCGCAGATCCATCAGGAGCGTGCTCAGCGCCGACACCAGATCGAGACCCTCAAATACGAGCGCATCATCAACGATGCGCTCAAGAAGCGCATCGCCGAACTGATCGAGTGCCTGAAGGAGCATCGCGAGGAGGCCAAGGAGAGGAACCCGGGCGAGCTTGCCTTTCAGTGTGTCATGGAGCTGGCGGCTAAGCTCGACCCTAAGGACGACGAGCCGCCGCCGCGCCCGGCTGGTGTCCATGACGCCGAGGAGCCGCTGCCAACCTATACCAAGATGATGGCGACGCTGCTGGACCAGGTCAACAAGACCCTTGACGAGAAAAAGGTTACTCCAGACCAGCGGTACGAGCAGCTCATCGTCGAGGTCGGCGAGCACCTCACCAAGGTCACCAACCTCCAAGAGGATCTGCTCAAGAAGCTGGCCGAGCTGGAGCGCGAGGAAAACCGCAAAATCACCAGCGACCACATCCACACCGGTTTCAACAGCTCCTTCATCAACAAGTCCAAGTCGTCCTCGTCTGGCCCGAGCTCCTCGTCCTCCAAGCCCTCCGAGACCAAGGTCGAACTGCTCAACCCCAACTACAAGGACCCATCCACCGACCCGGAGTACCTCAACCGCCCCGACGACGAGGAGATCACAGCTTCGCCTCTGGCCCGGCAATTCTGCAATATCCGCGCCACCGACTACCGCGAGTCGCACTCCTTCCTCCTGGAACACCCTGAGCTCCTGTCCGAGCGTGAGACAGACGGCATGCTCATGCTCGCCTTCGACGCCCAGCTCGAAAATAAGTCCGACTTTGCGCGCAACTGCGTGCACCAAGCCCTGCTCACACAGTACTGCCGAGCCCTCGGGCGCGACGGTGTGGCGCTCTTCTTTAAGCGCATCACGACGCCCGGGCACAACGCGCAGGAAGTCTTCCTCAAGGATGTGCAGGACACGTACATGCGCATCAAGAACCGTGCCCGTGAGATCATATTGCAGCGGGCCAAGGATGAGGCTGAGGGCAAGACTGGGCAGGTTGAACAGATCCAGCTGCATGCGGTTGAGCCGGGGACTACAATCAATATTCGTGTGCCCGATCCGAATAGTGATGACCCGGAGGAAAAGCGCTGCCGTGAGATCTTTGAGAGCTTCAGTCCTGCGATGAGGAAGGCGCTTGAGTCTGGGAAGCTGGAGGAGGTCAATAAGGTGTTGGGGGAGATGAAGGTTGATGAAGCGGAGGAGCTGGTTGGGAAGCTGGGTGAGGTATGTCCTGCTGCCCCAATTTACTTGTGTTCCCGAGACTGAACGGAGCTAACTTCGTGGCAGGCCAACATCCTGAGCCTCGAGGAGGAACTGATTGATGCAACCACCGAGGAGGGTAAGGAGAAGCTGAAGAAGATGGAGCAGAGCGCCCAGGAGGCCAAGAATGCCGGCTCAAGTGCCCAAAGCGCTGGTGATGACCTCGAGGTGATTGACGACCCGGAGTGAGGAGGCCGGACGCGCCCCCGTCCGGTGGTGGAGAACAGATAGCTGTACGTACTGTGTCCAGTCTAGCGCTCTACTAATTGGATGGCTTCGCGTTTGAGTACGCTATTGTGGATGGTTTGATGCGTAGTGTCATGGAGTTTGTGTGTGAATGGGGCTGTTGATCATGGGATGAAACTCGTTTCATCTGTCTGGTTCATCGGTGTCAGTCTCTTTGTTTTGTTCACAAGGGATCGGTAGAGCCAAGCTACTCCTGGTTCTTTAATTTTTTTTTTTTTTGCACTTGTCTCTTCGCAATTTACGTTGTTTCGCATCCTATATCTCAGAGATTTTATCGCATCTTTCAACACCCACAACAGATAAAACGACCGTTAGTCATATTTATCTGTGAAATTTCACAGCTTGTGTTCTCTGGACGGGTCGTTTCATCAAACTTCACAACTAGAAACAGACAGAGAGCACTTTTCTGTCAAACACAAACCTCAGAGTTTAAGGTTACGTCTAGCATCTAAGTACTTTTAACCGTATCATCTTCCCCGAACATTTTTTTTAAACTCAGAAACTTTGACTTCAACCACATTTTGCACCTACCTTCAAGAGCAACATCGTTTTCACCAGTTTCTACCCCCGATACAGCATTAAAACCAACTGGTTCTTCCGGCTCTTACTAACAGTACCTTAGCCACCATCACTTCTTCGGCATCGTCTTTCTACCCGTCGTAAGATCAGCTTCAATTGTGCTTGCTGTCCAAGACTTTTACTTTAATTCTTAAACACCACTAACTCTGCTTGCCGCGGGATTCAGAAGATTAGAAGAGCAGCGACGATACTGACGTTTTGCCTGAGCATAACACTGCAAGACCGAGAGACATAGTGGCAGATACCATTGGTCCAGTGTTGTAGGCAACTAACCTTGCTGAGGCTCTGGATAATCAACTCATTAGGGAAATGAGTGATCTCAGCGGTCTCAACCTGTTGAACATGAAACTGCCGTCCACCCGAGACCCTTCTGACTCTGACACTAAGAGCTCAGGTAACATGAATCCGGTCGCAGCCCCGCCGTAATAAGGACAAAAGACATTGCACCACCGCACGGTCACGGAGGGTGTCGATCGTACTACCTGACTTAGCCCATGACTTGAACCAAAGCTTCTGCGGTATTTCAATCCCTCAAACGGAAAGCAAGGAGGCCAAATTGGGCAGTCATCTACGATCAATCCAAACAAAGAATAACCCTCGTCGACATCCGCAGCCCCCGCTGTTTCCTTTCCAGGAAGTTCATTCCTACTTAAGGACAAACACAATGGTGAGGAACGTTATCCAATGGCACTATAGAATTCATGATACTCAGCAGCTAACCAGGTTTCGCAGCGTTTTTGTCCCTCCTCTTTCACCTAAGCCACGGAGCAATGTCCCTCCCCCCCCCCCCAAGCAAGATCAACGAAGACAGCCTCAACTCCCGCAAACAACAGCACAAGGCTTATATGAACAACAGCCATATATCTTCGGCGCTCCTCGACACCTCCGCCCCCTGCACCACTTCATCCCATTCTGGCCCTCGCAATCTTTGGCCCAGACAAGACGATAATACAATACGCTGTCTACCGCACCACGCCTTTTATCCCCTCGTTCCAATCCCTTTCTTCCTCTGACCACCAAGATGCCCCTTTTCACTCAAGACATACCAACCCTTACCCCAAAATATACAAAGGGAAAGGCTAAGAACAAATTCCTCCGCTTTAACGCCTATTTCTCCGCTAACGAAGCCAACCGATAGGTACGAGCCTTCTTGTTGAAGGTTAGTTGCCTAGCCATGAGGTTCGACAATAAGAGGTTAGTTGTCGCGCAGATGGGGTAGAGGTGGAGGGATGGTTTGTTAAGCCCAGGCATCTTATCAATACCCTCACAAGACAGAGCCGAAGCTGCGGAGGGTAAGACAGGGGAAGGTGAGGAAGAGAAAAAGCCAGGTTGTCGACGCTGTATAAGGTGAACGCATCCGGCGTATGTGAGGAAGAAGTTTGATGTTCAGTTGAGGGTGTATCCTAAGGCTGGGAAGGGGGGGGATGGCAGAAAGAAGAAGGATAGTATTTGGCTGTGAAGGGGAGATGGAGAAGGAGGAGGAGCAGGAGGAGAAAGTCCCTAAAAAAGACCGTGGAGCCTGGAACCAGGAAGAATAGAAGAAAGGAGATGGCGAAGCCATCGAGGAAAAAGAACAGTTCGTAGAGTCAGCAAGACAAGAAGTCTCTCAGACTGCCGAAAGTCCAGGAGTCGATCAGGAAGACAACTCTGAGGATACTGGCTCCCTCGGATCTTCGCAGCAACTATCACCAACCATTCAGCGACACCTCCACCCCCTTACCATAATCTGTGTCGAGCCTATAACACAAGACCACGACAGCTTCACAGTCCTCGCCTACACGAACCTCAAAATCCGCGACGACCTAAAAAACCCAGAGCGCCCGTATCAAAGATATCGAATACTATCGCCGCACCTTAACCCCCTTCGTGCACCAACAGTTTAAACATCACTGCGCCGGTTGAAAGCAGGAGACGGGGACGGGGACGGGGGCACTCGAACTGGAATGGGAGTACCCCTGGATGAATAGTAAAAATGGCCATTCAGGAAGTTTGATGTCAGAGTGGTGGTCCCCGAGCTACAAAGCCCGATTAATACTAGGGATATGGTTGTTGAGGGGGAGCCTGCGCCACCAAAGAATCTTCAAAACAAGGAAAGGGTGCTGATTCAGCTTCTGAGCAAAGAGAAGGCGATAAGGTTGGGCCTGGGGAGAAGGGGAAGGAAATGGAAGTTGCGAGGCCAGAACGGGAAGAACCGAAGAATTTGTTCTTAGAGAGGCCGAGATGAAGACGGAGATAGATATTGAGGAAGAATAGGGTACCGCAGACTACGTGACAAGGGAAAGAGGGAGAGAAGATTCTTCTGGTGATGTCTAGGTTTCTAATAGAGCTGCGTTCGTGTCGCTTATGCTAACATGCCGGGGTAATTTTGAGGATGACTGTCGGCCGAGTCACAGATTCATCATGGTCATGCTCGAGACTCCCCTATTAAACAGGGAACGACGTCGAGGCTGATAATTGGGACTGCTGCCTTGACCGGTCTACTGAGTGTTTGCTATGGCAATTCGAGCTCCCCCAAACGAAATCACGCTAGCCAACCGCCGCCTGCTGCTCTCGAAGCAGAGAGTACTTTCAAATGCTAAATGCCCGCAAGGAAGTAATTTACCGAAACAGGGGTCTGCACGAGCATGCTTGACTTGTTTTAGGGACGAAAATGGGTTGTTAAAGATCTAGTAGCATCATGACTGAATACTTTGGACAGTAGAGCGCTACAAGCCTACTTAGTCGAGCCCCATTATCGCGGTTCCACTTGTGAGTTTACTTTGGAGGAACTCGAGGGTTAAAGATTGAGAACACAAACTGGTTCTTGTGCCAAGACGCTAATCCTCATTGGGAAAGATTCCCCACAGCAGTCCCACCCGATCCGAGGCGGACCCACTGGGCTGCAGCGGTGGATACGGCGGAAACAGGGCCCTGCAAGTGCGGCCCAGACGTCATCCAGCACCTGCATGGATGATGGGGCTGCGACAATTGCAGCGGTTGCCAACCGTACACACCGGAGTTCCATCACGTTGTCCACAACTGCCAGCATCTCTTTGTTTTGTTTTCCTGGCAGGCCAGGGTGATTCACCAGCTTAATTGCCCGCCATCTGGCCGATATCCCGTCACCATTGCCCTCCAGACTCAGTTGGCATCCACCCCACACCACAGTGACCAAACATCTTGTTCCATCTGCACATCGTCACACACTTAACACCAACCTCGAAACGGAATCGTCCAGAAAACCGCCGTCACTGTCTTTCTAACTGAGCTTACCGAAGAACAACCAAGCAAGGTAGTCCGACTCTTCTCACGAGTCACAACATGGCAAGCGACAACCTAGCCGAGAACACCCCCCTCCTCTTTAGTGCCGACAACCAGTCATCGGCCACCGCCACAGCTCCTCGCTCTGTACGCCCACCGCGTAACGTCACCTTCAACCCGAACCCAGTCACCCGGACTATTGAGCCGGATACGGCCTACGGAGAGCTGAGTCCCTCCAACTACACGCAACAGCAACAGCAACAGCAACAGCAACAGCAACAACCGCAATCCCACCGCCATTCCATCCCCTCCTCCTCCAGCCCGTCATCTGCGTCCCTCTCGGCACTGAATAGCAGACTTCGGAGACGAAACAGCCATGGCGGGCCTGGCTCGGGGCCGTTAGGAGGGTATGGCAGTGGTGGTGCAGGGTCGGTCGGTAGCACCAGCGGCGCGAGCCTACCTCTTGCCGGGACAGGTGGTGCCGGAGCACTCAAAATCGGCCCGCAGCGGAGTACCGCAAAGGCACAGAAGTTGAAGCTGTTGCCAAACCCGGAGCCGGAAGAGGATCATGAGGAGGTGGACGAGGAGACGAGTCGCGATGTGTACTCGCAGTATACAAGGATCAAAGACCCGACCGCCAGGAGGGATGCGGCTCGGCTGGGGAAAGCGGATCGGGACAGGCTGCCGAGGGTCACGGCGTACTGCACGGCGAATAAGTACCAGATGGATGCGCTCATGCATTGGCTAAAGGGTCGTGGTAGGATGCGAGGGGCCAATCCGAAGCGGATTGATGAGTGCATCTATACGCCGTATAATTATGGGTCTAAGCAGCTTGCAGCTAATCGGGAGAGGAGGCATGCTGCTACAGGGGATTTGCTTGGTCTTGAAGGGGGAGAGGCGGGAGAGAATGGGGTGTCAGGAGCACGGACAGAGCCGTGTGACTCGTCGTTGGTTAGCAATGGGCCATCGGCTCTCTCACGAGAATCTTCTCAGCAAGCCGGCGAGTCCCAAGAAAGCACCGAACCTGACTACAGCGTTCACCAACGCCTCGACTTACTCGTCGTCGACGAAGAACATTCCCGCCCCGCCAGCGCAGGCCTCGACATCCGAGTTGGCACGCCTGAAATTTTCCTCTTCGAATACGGCGTCGTCGTGATCTGGGGCATGACAGAGGCCCAGGAACGCCGGTTCCTCCGCGAGCTTGAAAAGTTCGAGATTGAGAAACTCGCCCAAAGCGACGTGGAAACGGAAAAATTCAACTTTTACTACACCCACGAGTACCAAGCACGCATCTACAATGACTTCATTGCCCTCCGGCGCACCGAGGACGATGGCAGCGGCGGCACCCGCAGCGGGAGCTACATGACCAAGCTCGCCATCTCCCACGCTCTAGCACAATCAGTCAAGACCTCGCTGTTCGAGGAACTCATTGCGGCGACAATTGAAGAGACAAAAAACATACCCGCGCAGCTGGCATACACGGGCAAGATCAACCTGCCGCGGCGCGATATCAACAAGCAGATTGGCGAGCTGTTCATTTTACGTATCGCCATCCATTTGAACGGGTCCGTGCTCGACACGCCCGAGCTGTTTTGGGTTGAGCCAAGGCTCGAACCCGTTTACCAGGCCGTCAGGAGTTATTTGGAGATCGATCAGCGCGTGAGGTTGCTGACGGAGAGGCTAGACGTGATTGCGGATCTGTTGGCTGTGTTGAAGGAACAGCTTAGCCATGGCCATGGGGAGAAGTTGGAGTGGATTGGTAGGTTTTCCCTCTCTCACTCTCCCCCTTACTTCTTCTTCTTTTTTTTTTTTTGCTTTGTTTTTGTATCGCGCAAGTTAAGCTGATTGCTGACGAATATACATATATAGTTATCATCCTCATCGCTGCCGAGATCGTCGTGGCCATTGTCAACATCATAGTTGATATGAATGCCGGTGTTGCTTAGGAACATTGATTGTTGCATTACCGTACCCAGCATTGGATATAGAAAGACAGGGTGAGCTTTGTGGCCTGTTGTTTCTGTTTTTCTTGTTATACTTTTTGGTATTCACATTCCGAGAATTCATACATGAATACCCGTCACATACCCGTAACAAGCTCCATGGCAACGACTTTAGAAGCTGTTTTTATTAAGAAAAGTTCAGATAAAAGTATTGGTACTAACAATGACATTGTCTCTGTCAACGAGCACGCTTCGTTCTACCATGTCCCTTGACACTAATCTGTTGTTGTCCTTGTTGTACTATTCCCAGTCTGGACGGCTGGCAATCATGAAAAAAAAAGCCGTTTTGCATACTCGAACGACACTTATCGAACCACTATCCCCTGTTAACAAAACAACATTATTGATCGACGCCATAACCCATAAACCCATCCCCACCCAGTTTCATGTAATAACATCCACCTAGCAAATGAGTCTGTCTAGCAAAGAGGATAGAAAATAGAGATATCAAAAACATACAGTTACGCCAATCAGTCAACCTCAGATATTATACTTCCGACCCATGCTCACTCCCTCCATCACCCCTACCCATCATCCAATCTAAGTTGGGCTCATTCCCGCCCATGCCCATGGACCATTCCACGACGGGACGGTTGTGCATGTGGTAGCAGAGCATCCCCTCTTGCTCATTCAGCCCGGGCGTTGTGATACCAGGCGATCTGTTCCGAAGGAAATCCTACTCCTCGGGCTTCTCTCCTTGCGTCTCCTGATCGTCTGTCTCATCGTTCATTTCCACATCCTCCTGTTGTGCTGTCCTGGAAGCAGATCCGTTCGCGTCGTCGCCCTTCTTTGTCTCAGCACCAGAGGGTTGCTCAGACTCAGTCCGATTACTGCTCCCGCTGCTGCTGGTATTCCCGCTCTCCTTAGCCGCAGCCGCGCCAGCATCCTTTTCTTTCTCATCCTTTTCCTTCTCCTGCTTCTTTTTCCTCTGCATAGCTGCCTCCCATGCCTCCTTATCTTTCTCATACTGCGTGCGTAACTTATCTGCGCGCGAACGGTATTCATCCCGCTCTTTGTCGGGAAGTTCCTCCCATCGCCGAGCCAGCTCCTCATCCACGTTGATGCTCTCATCTGTCTTTGCCTTTTCTTGGACAGAAGAACGCGTGTCGTCGCAGAAGAGTTCGAAGGCGGTAGCAGGCTTCTTAGGCGGCGCGGGAACCGCTTCAGTCTTGGAGATGCCGTTCGACTTGGCATCACCTGGTTGGTTAGATAGCGCATCAGAGCTGGGCGAATGTCCGAGGAGGCTTTGGCTCAAAAACGAGGTGCTGCCGGCGGCTAGGCCGAGGGTCGCCGACATGTCGATGGGGGTGAAGGTGGTCTTGCGGTGGCCGCGCTTGAGGCGGAGGGGTTTTTCTTGGGGCTGGAGGGAGGAGATGTTAACAATCTTTGCTGTTTTGAGCTCGGCGGAGAAAAGACTGTCACGGTTGTCGACAAGCTCAGTTGACTGGGTGTTGTCGGGGACTTACTGTCGGCGGAGGACTCGGGCTACCGTCTGAGTCTTCAACGTTGGTGCTCGTCCGCTTAGCCAGCTGCTCGAGCAGGAAGGCTCGTTCTAGGCGCAGCTTTTCGACCTGGCGCTTGAGGCGCGCGAGGCGTACCCGGGCGGCATCGTTGGCCTCTTCGACCTCGTTGGTGCGCTGCTTCAGCTGGATGCATTTACGGCGGTAGGCCTCCTCGACGGATGGTGGCAGCGGAGGGGGAATCGCTGGGTGAGAAAGCCATAGTTAGCTAGTGTTTACAGGTCGGCAAGGGCAGTGACAGTGGCACGAACCTGGAGCCATGGTGAAGGCTTGGTAGGAGGGAGACGCTGAATGCGAAGGGAAACGAAGTAGTAGATGAAGAATTGAAGGTGATTTGGTTGACTCGTCGTCAACGAGATCAAACACTGTTCAAAATTGGAAACACAGGCGCTGACAAAGGGGGGTAATTGATAAAGTTTGTGGAAAGGTTAGTGATGGTTCAAGTTTTGCTTGGAAGCACGAGTCCACACCGCGAAAGAGCAGCGCCTGCAGCGCCTGCGACAGCCGACAACGCGACAAGGCTGAATCAGCTGGAACGGACCCACATTTTCGTCTTAACGATCGCAGGCTTCTAAGTAGAGGCCCAATCAGACCCAACACTGGGCCCCCCCTTGCTGGAGCTCGGAGGTGCTGCGGGGCAAGGCTGGTTCCAGGTTACTGCTGTTGACTTATGTTCGATTTGCTTCGACATTTTTTAGAGGGGCACGGCCATCTCCACTGGGAAGGCGACGGACGACTTTAATGCTTGGGACCACACATACCCAACCGGGGCCCTGACAACGATAACCACTCGACCCAGCTTGGCCTATACCGGTGAGACGACCATTTCAAGACAAGACAACAGACTCCGACCCTTTCCCATCCCATCATAAAACCCCTTCAAGGGGCTGTCGCAGTTCGCCATGTCCCTTAGCATTCCCGGCGCGCCCAACGCGGGCCTCTTTAAGCAGGGCTACAACAGGTGAGCCCGCCATTCCCATCCCCATTCCGTTCCATATCATGCCCTGTCTTCGATTCAAGCTCCCCTGACCATCATCACCACAGCTACGATTCCGAAGATGGAGCCGTCCTGCGCAACATCGATGCCTGCCGTGCCATCTCCTCGACCGTGCAGACCTCTCTCGGCCCGTACGGCCGCAACAAGGTCGTCATTAACCACCTGGGAAAGATGATCCTGACCTCAGACGCCGCCACCATTCTGCGCGAGCTCGACGTCGTCCACCCCGCTGCGAAGCTGCTCGTCATGGCCAGCCAACAGCAGGAGGCTGAGATGGGCGACGCCACGAACCTCGTCATCGTCCTCGCCGGCGAGCTGCTCAAAAAAGCTGAAGACTTGCTGCGCATGGGCCTCAAGACCTCCGACATCGTCAACGGCTACGAGCGCGCCCAGAAAATTGCTCTGGATGCCCTGGAGGAGCTCGAGGTCGACAAGGTCGAGGACCTGCGGAACCCCGAGGAGCTGAAGAAAGCCCTGCGCACCGTCATCGCCAGCAAGCAGAACGGCAGCGAAGACTTCCTTGCCGGCCTTGTCGCTGAGGCCGTCCTCTCCGTGCTGCCCAAGAACCCGGTCAACTTCAACGTCGACAACGTCCGCGTCGTCAAGATCATGGGCGGCAGCCTAGACCAGAGCCGCGTCGTCCGCGGAATGGTCTTCAACAAGGAACCGGATGGTGCGGTCAAGAAGGCCCGCAAGGCCAAGGTCGGTGTGTTCACTTGCCCGATCGACATCAGCCAGACGGAGACGAAGGGTACCGTGCTGCTGCACAATGCCAAGGAGATGCTTAACTTCTCCAAGGGCGAGGAGGAGCGGCTAGAGGCCCAGATCAAGGAGCTGCATGATGTCGGCCTGCGTGTCATCGTTGCCGGCTCCACCGTTGGCGAGCTGGCCATGCACTACCTCAACCGCTACGGCATCCTCGTCATTAAAATCTTCAGCAAGTTCGAGCTGCGCCGTCTGTGCCGCGTCGTCGGCGCTACCCCGCTAGCTCGCCTCGGCGCCCCTATGCCTGACGAGATGGGTACCATCGACGTTGTTGAGACCCAAGAAATTGGCGGTGACCGTGTGACTGTCTTCCGTCAGGAGGACGAGGCCACCCGGACTGCTACCATTGTCCTGCGTGGCGCGACCCAGAACCACCTCGACGATCTCGAGCGTGCCGTTGATGATGGTGTCAGCGTCATCAAAGCCATCACAAAGGATGCCCGTCTCGTGCCCGGCGCTGGCGCCACCGAGATTGAGTTGGTTGACAGGATACAGGCTGCTGCTGACAAGACTCCCGGTCTGGCTCAGTACTCGATCAAGAAGTACGGCGAGGCCTTTGAGGTCGTGCCGCGCACGCTAGCTGAGAGCGCTGGTCTGGATGCTACTGAGGTCGTCAGCAGGCTGTATGCTGCTCACCAGAAGAAGGATGGCTGGACTACTGGTGTGGATATCGAGGTATGTCCTCTGTGGCGCCAACATGCTAGTCTGGAGTTACTGACCCCCTCCAGAACCAGGAAAACACCGGTGTCCTCGACGCCGAGGACGAGGGTATCCTTGACCTGCTCTCTTCCAAGCACTGGGCCATCAAGCTGGCCACTGAGGCCGCCCGCACCGTCCTGTCCGTCGACCAGATCATCGTCGCCCGCCAGGCTGGCGGGCCAAAGCCTCCTGGACCCAACCCGGTTAGTGCCCTTCCTCGCTTTCTCTTTACCAAGTTACTGACTGTACCAGAACTGGGACGAAGACTGAGCTCGCGGCTCTGGCCTGACTGAGTCAGAAGGGTGGTGGTGGTGTGTGGCTGATTCTGTATGTACCTGCGCGCCCAGCTCGTGGACTGTTACGATGATGCAAAATGGGTTGTAATAAGGGGATTGCTTGAAGATCTACCTACTACTGAGATATCTTAGAACCTAACTTTTAGACTACAGATCCTCGAGCTGTATGGGTCGTGCAAAAAGTCACATCACCTACATACTGGTCTTCTCATGAGCGAGAACACTGCTGTACTTCTTGTGATAAAGCTGCCCTGCAACATAGTACACGGGTTGACCCTCCGAATTTCCCAGCCAAGTGATGTCAAAAGAGTCTTAACCCCCCTCCTCCCGCCCACCCCCCCCCTAATAGTCATTGAATAGGCACCCAAGACCCTCCCCAACCCTCCAATTCTTCCAAAAAAACCCTCTTCGTCGCCCTCTCAGCACCCAAGAACCATCTTCCTCCCTTGTTCATACCATACCCCCCTTCCTCCTATCTCCTCCCGCTTCTTCTTCCTCAACCCCCTTTCGGAATGTGCCCATCGGCATTGTGCTGGACTTGCTGGAGTCTGAGGTCGCTGACATTGTGGTAACTTTTCAAGAGCCAACTACCCAGCTCTGAATGGGAGAGTGCCAATTGTTACGATCAACAAGGATGTCAAGGGGGATAAGCGGAACTGGGCACAAAGGGCCAATAAAATCACGGCTCATGCAGCCCCGAAAGGTCGTCAGGCCACGAGATACTGACGAGGGACTAAAGACCTTTAGGAAATAAAGAAAGACTTGAGTATATAAGGTAGACAGCTTCCTTGTAGGTAAAGGAGGACGAAGAATTCCTCAAGTCAGCAATACAAACAGTTGCCCAAACCAACTGGTGACCACAGTGCTTATGAATCTGTGTAAGAACTTTTGTCTCTCAGATCCATAAGCCTTGGACCAAACTTGAACCCATTTCAGAAGGCTAGCTGGATCATCACAGCTATGATAATTCATGTTATCTAATTCGCCTTGAGTCTTTTGCCTTGGACTTCTCTATACCAACTGCTTCAATTGATGAATTGACAAGGTCGGTAAAATGGCCGGCGAAATTGCCTGATAAGATTGATAAGGAGTGGTAGGGTAGGTGGTGTACAAAGCGGTGGGATGGTTAACTAAGACTTATGGGGTTAGGGCTATGGTCAGAGCTCTCAGTACTTCGTGTTCTCCAGCTATTCAGACCATTGACTATTCTCTCTTAGACAAACAGTTTCTCAACAAAAAAAAAATCTTCAGTGGAAACAATCTACTTTCAGCAAAGTTTTTATTACATACGTATGTTAGCTGTTATAGTGTGCAGACTTTGCAAACAGTCAGCTGTCGAGGTCAGGTCATGTACTTAAGCCATGACAGCGTCGTCAACAATGTTGCAAGCCGAAGCAACAGCAAAATAGATTGCAGCACAACAAAACGTATGGCGTGTTGTGATCTCAATTTTAAAGTTATTTGGGAGCCTAGTGACATCGTTGGAGAGGGTTCATCTCGAACTTTCCTTAGTACATCCCGATTGAGTCGCGTGTAATGTACGCGGCAAGCTGCCGTGGAGAGCTGATGGAGGTTGAGTGCCCTACCTACTACCCTCATGGGGCCCAGAAGGCTTGGACAGATGCCCAGAATCTTCAAGGTGTACGGGTGTGGCTCTTGTGCTTCCTTCGGCCAAGATAACTGTCATGCAACCATCCTTTGGTTTTTAGGCTAGCCAATTCACGCCTGAGATAAAGTAGCATAGCCACCCGTAATTTTCTTCGTATAGGTGGCCTACAGGTTCTTGCCTCTTCTGCTTCCATGTTCAGCCATCATAGAGAGCCTTCAACCTCACAAAGAGAATTTTGGCATCTTGAACGAATTGAAGATGGTGCCGGCAGATATCCCAGCCTGTGTCCGCATCAAGGGTACAGTACTTGTCTTGACATAAATCTAATGACTAGTTTTAAACAAGATATTGTGGTTTCACAGTCGCAAATATTGATATGGAAATCATCACCGAATCTTACTGCGCCTCTCGGGATGAACAACGCACAGGAATTTGATGAAGCTATATACTGAGTATATCGCGGATATTTACTACTGGTATGAACCACCGGAGGTCACGAAAATGGCCAGCAATCTGCATTCATGAGTCGACTGTCACTGACAAGTGTTTTAATTCCTAGATATGAAGAACTTGGTCCTCGATTATACCCTGGAGTTTGCGAGGCTATTAGCCTACTTAAACGCTGCTCTCCCTCCCCTGAGATGATATCCCTGCACGTATGCCTATGGCTTCGGATCTCGAATGAACAAGGAGGGAAGACGGACATCGTTAGAAGAGCAGCATGGGTCAAAAGATATGCCAGTAATGGAGGGTTTTGAGTTCTACTATGAGTTTATACCCACCGGGTTTCACAACTTGGTGGCTGATAGAAAGGGTTTACACCTCTTATTGATCTATTCAGATCTTATATGGTTAACCCAGGTTATCAAAAACGAGACATTGAAGGAAACAAGCTTTGAGTATGGAAAGGATATGACTACCTTCGTTTTAACATTACTACCGGGCAGACCTTGCTTGTCCTCGGCTATCCCTTTGATTGCCAAGCAAGCCATCGGCCCCAGCACGTGTTAACCAGGACGTGTATGGGAAGCAGCATGTTGTGAATAGAACTAAAGGCTGATCTGTGTAATTTTCTGATACTACAACTTGCATCTCAGTTGGAGTAATGCAGCTCTTGTTTGCATGCTCTGAATCGCATCTTTACCCACTATATGAGGTCTCCCTTTGGGTTTGGGTGTATCTTCATCCAGATAGAACTAGCCTCTGGCAGTCATGCCATGTGTCGTCTCTAAGCTGTGTGACCTTGACACTGAGGAAGAGCAAGCTGTCAAGACAAGGTCCCCGGGGTTGCGGCGTCTCCCAATCTCACTAGGAGACGAGACTGGGGCCCTCAACTCTCTATCACATTTCGGCAAGAGCAGTGAAGAGGACAAGGCTGCCAAAGACCTCCCTGAATTCCTGAATGAACTTCATACGAGTCGATAAAGACCTCCCAGGCCATTAATTCGAGTGTAGTCTGCTTACGAGCATCAAATCGACTCAGCATAACTCGATCAGATGAGGTTCCCCTAGATACAGTAAACTAACTAAACTAGAAGCCTTGGATAATCTTCGTTATATACCATGGCTTGGTAGTCAGCTTCCTTGATCTCCATCATCATGAACCGAGCTAACGCACATTCCAGAACCAAAATATGGCGAAACAAGCCAGACGGATAGTAAACACATGGCAATCATTGCCAGAGATATAACGGGGACAGCGAAGTTCTGAAGATCGCACAGCTCACGATGTTGTACCTTCCTGGCACGCTTGTAGCAGTAAGTCGTTTACAGGGCAACGCAATCCATTCACAGGACATCACTCATACAGCTCTTCATCCAGACTGTCCTCAGCATGGGCGTTTTCAACTTCGACTTCGATGATGGCAAGTTCGGAACCATGCACATTTTCGTCAAGGGTGAGGAGTAATTATTGCTGCTGTCATCTTGCTGACACTGCTCACGCTCCTTAAGTTTTACATCATGAAAAGGTATACATCCGCTGGGATCGTACAAGTGAGCCACGAATTCCACGATTCAGAACCTCTCGGCGCTCAACTGTCAACCTCGGATCGATTGAAAGCGGTAGTTAGATCAATCGGTCACGTAAAACATCAACAACTAGCACTACAATATTCCAAGACTTTGACGCGAGAAGCCTTAGACAAAGTAGAGCACCATCAAACAAAGCATTACAACCACTTGATCGGGCTGGAGTCACCGAAACTTCGGAAACTTGATGTCAGAGTCCCGCACTGCGGGTCTCAACTAACTCCAAAGTTTGACAACTTGGACATCACCTGTCTCCAAACCCATCTGCAGCCGTTGACCTGTCTGCAGGTAACAAACATGAAACACTCGGCTACGACGCCGGTTGCTTATGATGTCCTTCTCCCACTTGAAAGCAGATCATCGCCCAGCCTGCATCGAGTTTGCTGCGCACAAACGGTCCGACCACACACCACAGACAGATATGTATAGCGTTTCTCAAGACAGGACATGCTCAGTCATGGGTTGGCTTCTAAATAAGGAAAGGGCCTGGCTAACACCAAATCGGGTCCAAGCACATATCTGGAATGCCGCTCGACGCTCTCTCACTGGCACCTGTGTTCCCGCGCTTGCAGAGCAAGATACTTGCTTCCCGACGAACCGACTGGGCAGGTATCTTGCAAGCGTCGAACAATCTCGGAGGGTTACACATATGCTCGCCGAGCACAGGACACAACCTTGGTTTAGTTGTTAGCGCGGTTCTTGGTGACAGGGGTCAACGCCACGATCTCAAAACCTTGCTAGCAAAACACAACCTATGGGTGGAATATTTGGAATCAATTGTTGAACCCTTTTTTTGATCCAACTGTATGTTCTTCTTGTATTTTGATATGGATTTGGTTGAAGAAAAACTATGGTTGTGCAATGAGATGTTTACAATATCCCTGTTAGAAGTCTCGCGCTAACAATGAACAAGGGGTGGATTGTAATAAGGGCAATTTAAAAGCAGCTACGTACCGGCCGGACGTTGCGTTCGCAAGCCTACCCACCTTAGTACGCGGAAAGAAAAGAGCATATTGTACATACCTAGAGAGATGTCAGTGCTCGAGCAGGAGAGGGTTTACAGTTTACTATTCCCTTCTGGTTCTCCAACTTCATCCTCCGAGATGTAAAGTTGTCAAAAAGAGCCCAAAGCGCACGAATGAGCCTACCCAACATGTGTATGCTTTTCAACGCATCCGGAAGATTCGCCGGTGGAAACTTTTATTTCTCCCTACCCATTGGTCATGTTCATGATGGAGTTTCCTATTTGTGCAGCGAAGGAGATTATTATGAAATGCACGCTTCTAGAAATGTGAAAAATCATGAAGTGAGCATGGTTTTGTGGTGAAAGGCCT